GTATGATACACTGCTGGGCTGGAAAACTCTGGAAATCTGCCCTCTGGTACTCAAATAAAAATCAAAAGTACATACATGTCATTAGGCCACACAATACCAGGCCTTGCTAGAATATCTTACCTTATTTTCTTTCAGGATGTCACTCTTATGTCTGCTGAGTCCCCACACCTGGCTTATGAGTCTTGGTTTAGTTTTAGGACAATCTTCTGAGGTTACCATAATCCCCTCTTCTGTGTCGCATCTTCTGCTGAACACCGTTGCATCTGGGACCCACTGGATAATCCAGGATAATCTCACATCTCAAGATCCTAATGCAATTATGCCTGCAAATACCCACCCTCACATCATGCAATAAAGACTGCATGTTCCAGAACTATGGCAGTGGAATTCTAACCCTGACACCGACCTCTAGTGCCTGCACCGCTATTACCATTCAGTGTAACTCTCCAGACACATTTGTCTTCATGCCCCCATAAAACACTCCTGCCACCATGGCTTTCTGCAGTCACAATTAATTAGATTTACACAGCTTTTATACCCCTACTTTTCATTCTTTCTGGTTCCTCTGCATCTGACTAGGGATCATTATCTTTCTGCTTAAAGAATAACATGTAACATTTCCCTAATTAAAAAATGGGTGGTTGCCGGGCAGTGGTGGCGCACGCCTTTAATCCCAGCACTCGGGAGGCAGAGGCAGGTGGATCTTTGTGAGTTCGAGGCCAGCCTGGTCTACAGAGCAAGATCCAGGAAAGGCACAAAGCTACACAGAGAAACCCTGTCTTGAAAAACCAAAAAAAAAAAAAATGGGTGGCAATAGTTGTTTTCACAATTTATCTAAAATGTTTCTATTCAACCTTTGGTTTTCAAAGTATCTGTGTATCTGTGTATGACATATAGATATGTTTCTCACTATGTTGCCCAGGCTGGTCTCAAACTTTTAGGTTCAAGCAATCCTCAACTTCCTGAGTGTCTGAGAATTGAAGCATATATCATAGCACCCAACTGGATTTGTTTTTGTGCCAAATTTAGAATTTTAAGTTACTAGTTGCTTATATGATAGCTAAAGTTTTGGCAATGTGATACAAGCTAGGGTCTTCTGGGAAGAGGGATCCTCAACTGGGAAAATGTCTTCATCAAACTGGCCTGTAGGGAAGTCTGTGGGGGCATTTTCTTGATTAGTGACTGATGTGGTTGAGTCCAACCCACTGTGGATAGTGTACCCTGGGCAGGTGGCCATGGGAATCAAGCCAATAAGGAGCTTTCCACCACTGCCTCTGCTGCAGTTCCTGCCTTGAGTTCCAGCCTTGACTTCTTTCGATGATAAACTGTGATTGGGAGGCATAAGCCAAATAAAACCTCCCCCTGCCTTCGACCCAAGTTGCTTTTTGGTCAGCATGTTTATCACAGCAAAGAAAGAAAACTAAGATGCTTATTTTCAGGACTTAGAAGGTTTGTTTTCAGTCTTCGGGTCAGTACTTCTGCTGAAGTCAGTGTTCATTTTATTGTTTGGCTCTTTGAAGGCAATAGGTCATTTCCATTGGCTACTTCCAGTATTACTTTTTTGCTTCATTTCATCTTTTTCCTCTTGATCTTTACAGTTCCCTTTAAATATTTTTTTCAGTGCTGGGGTTCTGCATATGGCTTTGCACATACTAGGCAAGAACTGCACCATTAAACTACAGTCCCAGTTCTTGACTCTTTGAGACAGGGTCTTGTTGTGTAGCCTAGGCTGCCTTAAAATGTGATTCTCCTGTTTCAGCCCCTGAGTGCTAAGATTACAAACATGTACCATGCCAGACTCTTTTTATAGAGCTGCATGCATGTCTGTGTACCATGTGTGTGCAGTGCCTATGGTGGCAAGAAGACAATGTTGGATCCAGTAAGATCCAGTAACTCCTGGAGCTGGAGTTACAGACAGTTGTGAGCCACTGTGTGGGTGCTAGGAATTGAACCCAGGTGTAGGCAGATTTTTCTGTCCATCCATACAGCTCCCAAATCATGACACAGACATATTATTAATTATGAAAGCTTGGCTGATAGCTTAGATTTGTGTCTAACTAGCTCTTATAACCTAAATTAACCCATTTACATGGATTTACTTTCTGCCTCATGGCTTTATTACCTCATCTTTGTATTTCCCATCCTGCTTACTTTGTGTCCAGCTGATGACTCAGCACTTCTTCTTCCCAGCCCTGAAAATGCTGCCTAGCTATTGGCCATTCAGGTTTTTATTAAACCAATCTGAGTGACACATCTTCACAGTGTGCAAAAAGATTATTCAGCAACATTTCCCTTTTTTGTCTAAATAAAAAGAAAAGTTTAATTCTAACATAGTAAAGCTATATTGTAGTAAAACTAAGAACAATTATCAGGTATTATCTAAATAGAAAGGAAAGGTATTAACTTTAACACATGAAACAATAAGAATAATCATCAAGAATTACATTTATAATGCCCAGTCCATTTGTATTTGGTAAATTTAGAGAAAATACTCCATTATCTATCCTCTCTTGATGAGTTCAAAGTTTTGTATCTAACTTATCTTCTATCACAACTAAGGAAAACTATAACTATAACTATCTAGTCTTCAACTCCATCAAAGACCCCAGAAGGATATAATATTACTTGAGTAAACAGGAAGTGCAGTGTAAGCTACTTCCCAAACTATAGAAACAACAGAGTCAACTGGCTGCCTGGACAGTCACCCCAAGATTCCTCTGCAAAGTTGGGGCCTCCATCTTTGGCCCACAGGCCTAGAATATCTGACAAACTTTTCTATGAAGCAGGAATTTCAAAGGACTGTCCTGCCTTCTCTTGGCAAAGTTCAACAGTCTTTGTCCTTTGTGTCCTGCTTGTCCAGTTTGTACAGCATACTGTCAGCAGTCAAGACAAGAGCAGTTTCTTACCCAACTAGCTAGTTTTGCCATATTGAAAGCAAACTCTATATTTAGTTTTTTCAATGCCCATTATCTTTTCTGAAGTAAATTGGTGATACCAGGAGCAAATGTGTCTCATTGTCATACAAAGTCCTATGTTATTAAAACATTAAAATCCCTTATTCTGTAGGTCTCTGAAGTGCTTAAAGACCATCTATCTATCTAAAATGTCTCTGATTGACCTTGAAAATATACCTAACATGACTCTAAGTTTGATTGTTATAGATGACTATTAACATGTATTTCTTTATTATCCTAAATAGCTTTCAAGAACTAGAACTTGGGCTGGAGAGATGGCTCAGAGGGTAAGAGCACTGGCTGCTCTCCCAGAGGTCTGGAGTTCAATTCCCAGCAACCATATGGTGGCTCACAACCATCTGAAATGAGATTTGGTGCCCTCTTCTGGCATGCAGGCAGAACACTGTATACATAATATTATGTATACACTGTATACATAATAAATAAACCTTTTTTAAAAAAGAACTAGAACTTTACATTACATTTTTAAATGAGCTGTATATGTATAAAACCTTAAACAAGAAATAGAAGCATATAACACAGTATAACAAAAATAACCTTACATTTGTATCATTATACAAAAATATTTATGTAAGAGTATACTTACACAAGAGTAGAAACGTATATACCATATAACAAAAATAACCTTAAATTTGTATCAATATACAAAAATCCATACCAATGTTAAATATTTGAGATTAGTCATTGCTTTTTTAAAGATTTATTTATTTTTATGTGCATTGGTATTTGCCTGCATGTATGTCTGTGTGAAGATGCCAGATCCCTGGAACTGGAGATATAGACAGCTGTGAGCTGCTATGTGAGTGCTGGTAATTGAACTCAGGTCCTCTGGAAGAGCAGCCAGTGTTCTTAACCACTAAACCATCTCTCCAGCCCCTAGTCATTTTTTTTTAGTTTGAAAGTAGATACAATAATCTATCCTTTTATCCTATAATTTCTATACCCCCCTTTTCCTTTTCAGAACAAGATTCCTGAATCTAATTTCCTTTACCAAGTATCCTCCATGACCAATAACAGCTGGTGACAACCCCCCCTAAGCAATGACAAACATCCATTGAACAACCAAAAACCAGCCTCTTGGGAATGTGGATCCTGTTCTTTAAATTACTTTCTGTTGTCTGGGGGCAATGGCATCTTTAGGGGACTCTGAGAAAATTAAAATAGTGATCAAGTCCTGGCTAGACTAGTCTGTGAGTTTGGACCATCTCAGCCAGCAGCCTTGAAGCTGTTCTGGATGCAGAACTCTGAGGAAACTGCAACAGAGGCACTCTGAGAGGCTGGATCACCTGGGCCACCCATTTTTATTGGTGTCTGGTCCCCTTGCTCTGAAAACATATAAATATACATATCTATATTAGCACAAATATGGACCATGTGTTGTACTCAAACCAGCCAAAGATGATGTTTTGTTTTATGTTTGAGCAGATAAAATATATGTGACCTATCTTGTAGTTTTTCTACATTTTTTTATGTCTGTAACCAGAATTTTCAGGGGTCTCCCCTAATCAAATCTGATCTTTATCAACCTTGAATCCACAGCCTTTCGTTTTCTGTGGAAACAAAGCATAACCTCTTTTCCAATGTAACATATTTTTTGACCTCCGTTTTGAAGTTAAGACATTTAAAAATATATAGGTTGTTTTAATTTAGTAGTTTTTATAATCCAATGTGTCTCAGCAGCTATTGTTTGCTCATCAGCAATCAAAAAATTTAAAGTTAATACAACACCATACAGGATCCAGACTCCCTGTGTAGTTCCCATATCTACATGGCTTATCCTCTTTTTTATTACTTCTCTTTTTATTTTTTATTTTTTTTAAGATTTATTTATTTATTATGTATACAGAAGAGGGTGCCAGATCTCATTACAGATGGTTGTGAGCCACCATGTGGTTGCTGGGAATTGAACTCAGGACCTCTGGAAGAGCAGTCAGTGCTCTTAACCTCTGAGCCATCTCTCCAGCCCCTACTTCTCTTTTTAAAGACTTTATTTTATTATTGTTAAACCATTATTTCTTATGTCTGTCTATACCATTTTTCTTTTTTTTCCCTTAAGTCTATGCACATTGTTAAACACACTGTAACCTGCTTAGAGGTTTTTTTCATCTGAACCTGCTTTACTGCATATCTGTAACCTTTTCTGTCTGCATGACCAAAATCTTAAACCACTGTACACCTTAGCTCATGGTGCACTGGGGGCTCAAGCCCACAGGTAGCAACCGGGAGACACATCTCTGTACCACAGCCCGCATGAGACTGTGGGACTAGGAAGCTGCACTTGGCTCCATTTTTTTGTGTGTTTGGAATCTTTATTTAAGCTTTCTCAGTTCTTACGTGGACATACGTGCCCCCACATTAGACACCATTTGTAGGCAGATTTTTCTGTCCTGCCATCCTGCTCCCAAATCATGACACAGAGACATTATTAATTATGAAAGCTTTCTTGATATCTTAGGATTGCTTCTAATTAGCTCTTATAAAAATTAACTCATTTATATTAATTTACTTTCTACCTTGTGGCTACATCTCTATATTGCCCATCCTGCTTTCTCTGCATCCAGCTGGCAACTCCACCCTTCTTCTTCCCAGCATCCTCTGTGCCCCTAAAATCCTGCCTAGCTATTGGCCATTCAGCTTTTTATTAAACCAGTCTGAGTGACACATCTTCACAGTATACAAAAAGATTATTCCACAACACCCAGGTCCTCTGGGAGAGCAGTCAGTGCTATTAACTGGTGAGATATCTCTCCAGTCTACACAATGATTTACTTTTAATCTGATAGCTTGATTGTCTCTCTGTGTGTGTACAAATGTGTGTTCATGGAGATAAGAGATCAGATGGGTGTCTTCCTTAATTGTTCTCTGTGTTCTTTAACACTTTAATTATTTGTGTATATTGTGGTGATGTATTGTGTCCCCAATATATTGTGCACCCTAATAAAGTTTATCGGAGGATCAGAGGAAAAAGCCAGCCACTCTAGTAAACATAGAGGTCAGGCAATGGTAGCACAGGCCTTTAATCCTATCACTTGGGAAGCAGAGATCCATCTGGATCTCTGTGAGTTCAAGGCCACACTGGGAACTGTGGTGGTATTTTACTTGTACTGAAATGTGATTTTAATTGTATGTTAATAAATAAAGTTGCTTGGGGGTCAGAGCTATTAGAGCCATAGCAAGAGCGTGGCGGTGGTGGCACATGCCTTTAATCCCAGCACTTGGTAGACAGAGCTAGGTAGATCTCTGTGTGTAAAAGGATACAGCCAGCATTGGAGACACACGCCTTTAATCTCAATCCCAACCATAGAAGACCTGGAAGTCTTTACAGACAGGCAGTGACGAGGCATGGGTTTACAACCAATGAGAAGGCAGAACCGAAAGTCTTTATAAAGACAGACACACAGGAAGTAGGCCCCTTTCGGAGAGCTCTCTTGGCTGAAGAGGATCGCTGAAGCAGGAAGGGTGAGGCTTTTAGTTCTGACCTCTTGGCTTTCTTCTCTGAATCGGCTCTGTGTTTCTTATTTAATGAGACGCTTGGTTACATCTACAGGGAACAGAGCCAGGTGTGGTGGTACACGCCTTTAATCCCAGCACTAACCATAAAGGTCTGGAGGTTTGGACAGACAGACAGGAAGTGACAGAGCTGGGCAGGAAGAGGAAATGATGTAGCTGGACTGAGAGAGGAAATGAGATGGCAGAACAGAAAGGCATATAGGCGTGGGTATATAGGAAGTAGGTCTCTTTGGAAACTGGGATGAAGTTGTCTGTGGCTTGTACTATTTCTCTGATCTCTCAGTTTTTCACCCCAATATCTGGCTCCGGGTTTTTATTAATAAGACCATTTAGCAATTCATCTTACAGTATATATGTGTAGGAGCACTTGAGTGCCACAGCAAGTATGCGGAGGCCAGAGGACAACTTACAGGAGTCAGTTCTTTTTTTCTACCATTCCAGAGATTGAGTTTACGTCCTCAGGTTTGGCAGCAAGTGTTCATATCTGCTATGCTATTTCACCAACTCTACCTGCTTTTTGAGACAAGGTCTCTCAAATGTGGAGCTCTAAATTGGGCTCAAACTCAGGTCACTTTACTAACTCAGTCATCTTCCTGGCCCCTAATTTTCTTAATTCACTTTCAGAAAGGTATCACAATGGTCCTTTCAAATACTTTTTACACTCTATTACCCGTTGTTTCCAGCTGCAAATTTAATCATACCATTAGGCTTTTTCTCTAAGTCTGTCCTGTGGTTTCTGTTAATTTTTTTCTGTGTTTCAGTATTATTGACTCCAAAATCTATCTTCCAGTTCCTTACTTCTTTCTTTAGCTGGGTCTAATTTGTAACTAATCTAATCCATTAAGGTTCTGCTACCTTTATGATCTACATACAACAAAACAGAGCATTTTAAGTAGTGCCATTTGATAAGTTTTCTTGTAGTTTTTGTGTTTTCTTCAACATTTTTATGTTGAAAAAATTTGAAGGAGCTGGAAAGATGATTCAGTGGTTAAGAGAACCTACTATTGTTGCAGAAGACCCAGATTCAGGTCCCAGCACCCACATGGTGACTCACAACTACTTGTAACTCTAGTTCCAGGGCATCTGACACTCACTTTTAGCCTCCATGAGCACCAAGCAGGTACATGGTGCACATACAAACATGCAGACATTCATACATGTACATAAAATAAAAAAATAGGCAGCTGGAGGTGGTGATACATGACTTTAATCCCAGCACCTGGAAAGCAGAGGCAGGATCTCCAAGTTTGAGGCAGGCCTGGTCTACAGATCAAGTTCTAGGATAGCAAGGGCTACACAAAGAAATCTTGTCTCAAAACTACTACTACTACTACTACTACTACTACTACTACTACTACTAATAATAATAATAATAATAATGATAGGGTCAGGCATGGAAGCACATGGCTTTGATCTCAGCACTCAGGAGACAGAAAAAAACAGATGCCTGTGAGTTCTATGCCAGCCTGATTTCCATGGTAAGTTCCAAGCCAGCCAGGGCTACATATGGAGATTCTGTCTCAAAAAATAATAATTTGTTTTCAAATGTACAAAAGAGTTAGGATAGTAGTACATATTTTTACCCTGGATCAACTAGTCATTAACATTTTGCTAAATTTGCTTTACCTCACGTATTATGTATAATCATACTATTACTCTTCGGTTTGAACTTCAAAGTATTTGGACAAAGACCCTTTGATTCCAAATATGTCAGCCCAGACATGAAAGGAACAAGTGCATCTCCATTCCCACTGTGATGCAGTCAAGTCAGTTAACCACCTTGGAATTATCATTGATAGAGTTTTATTGAGCAATATACAGTACATTTTCAGGTTAAGAATTTTTACTAGTGTGTTCTGTGTGATTGATCATCTTTTCCTGACCCAGGATCCATTCTAGTACCAGTTAATAAAACACTGATGAAGCTGGAGCTTCCTGGAGTAGAGGGAATATGTTCTCTTCAATCAGGTGAAGTATACTTACCTTCACTCACTCAGGACATGAGGAGATTTGAACTTTAGTTCAGTTTCTGTCTCACCTTCACTTTCAGGGAATAGTCCTCTAATGCACTGAGCCTGACCTTCAGCTTCTGTACCACAGCTCCCATAAGACTGTCCCAACTTCACAGCTTCTTGGTCCCTGCTTTCCTGATTGAAAATCCCCAGCTGTAAATGCTGTTCTTGTCATCAGAGAAACTGTGACCCCAAGAATCCTGCCATCACTGGTTGTTCTAATGAAGGTTAGTCTGAAACAATCTTGCTCTCACAGCTGTCTCCCTCTTCAGCTTCAGCCTGGAGTCTTTACGATTATTTAAAATGCTCCACTCACCATTTTTGCAGTTGTCTCTGGGGTATTTACCATCTCTGTATTGTTTCTAGAACATTTTTGTGTGATTGTTTTATCCTTGCCTCCTTCACCCCAACTTCTATTCACTACTTGATATTCACTTGATTTCACTTTTGCTTGCTATGTGCTTAATAAACCCACTAATTCAAGATCAAAAGGACAGCTTCTATACATCAGTCTTCATACAGAACAGAATACCCTACCAGGTAGTATCCAGAGGTTGTCTATGGACACTGAGCTTTGAATTTCAGTCATTGCAGAAATGCCACATGGTCTCCTGACTTTCTGATCCTTGAATAGGTTATGACATAAGAGCTTTCATTTCTCTACCTAGAAACCTTCCCTTTACCAACTGTCCTGAGGACCTAAGACTTCAAGTCATCAACCTAAGCGACTATCAACACCAGTTGTTTGACTCCAGGGAAGGTCTCCTGTTGGTGTTGGGGAAGACTGCACGAGAAAGGGTTGTTTTACGGGGTCGTGAAACTTGATTGCTTTTATTGTTGAGGGAACCCCAGAAGTTAAAGGCATGTGCTACCAAGAGTGCCAGGAACTGGAGTCGTTAGAGACTAGTTGATTCTCTTCCACTGTTGCTAATATCCTACTCATCGTGTGTGCACAATTCAAATCTTAAAGACTTGCACTATTGACCCTGCCTTTCACAGACATCCAGGATTGACCTTTGGCTGTCCACTACAAGTGTCCACTTGGCTTCTGAAGCGTCTTTGACCACACGCCTGTTTGTCCTACAGCAGCCCCGTTTCAGGAAAAGGAATAGATTCTCATTGCCAAAGCTCTGGAGTACTCTTAATTTTCTCCGCAAACCCAATCCTTGGAGCAGTCCCGCAGCGCCATCTTCTGGTACAGCTCTTCACCTCCACTCCTCGAGAGGCAGTAGTGTCTGATTTGCTTTTCAGACCTTGTGTAGGCCTCCCGAGAGATCTTTGCGGGCATCGCCAAGAATAACGGCCTCACTGAGACACCCAAGGCCAGTGTTCTCCCAAGCACTGCCAGTGTTCGTTCGGAGTTTGGAGCTTCTGAGACGCAGCAGCCAGGGCGGTACTCGCCAGGGGAAGAGGCGGCGCGCGTTGGGTTCTGTCCTGCCCTGGCCTGGCGAGCGGTCACGTGGGGCGCTACCCGGAGGCGGAACTACTACGACCGAGACCTAAAGGCTTGCAGATCGGGAGCTCCAGGTTACCTTAGTCATGCGCTCCCCGCGTCCCACCTCCGCTACGCTGGCATTTCTAGCTGCGTTCTTGGCTGCGCCCTTGGCTGTGGCTGAGACCCCATACCTGGTGCGTGTGGACGCAGCCCGCCCGCTGAGGCCTCTGTTGCACTTTTGGAGGAGCACCGGCTTCTGGTGAGGCCCACCGCACGTACTTGCCAAGTCCAGGAAAGCCTCTTGCTCCATTCTCTGGGTTTCTCTCATCAGACCTTTGGGCTCTCTGCCCATCATTCTTGGACACTCAGGAATGAAGATCAAACTTCTTCCTTCAGGGTGTGGCGTGTGTTTTCCACTTAGTGGATTTCCCGAGTGCCAGAGCCTCCCTAAATGGTCCCCAGGGATCAAGAGCATGGTACTCAGGCTATAGGCTCATGATTGGTACTTCGGCAGAACCTAGGACTCTCCCAAAGTACCTGACCTCGAGTGTTGGACCAGACCTGGTTTCTGAATGCCTCCAAGTCTTTCTAGGAATTTACAGATCCTCTTCTATGGCAGGCAGATGTCCTATTAGAATATGGTACTGTGTCCTATGGGAACCCACCTCCCAGAGACAAGACTGTAGAACATTTCTGGTGAAAGGGCTACTTTATCATACAATGTGGAGACACACACTGTTCCTCTGCAAGGGCCTGGCAGTCAGGTGCTAAATGTGTAGAACCTGGTCTGCTGCAGGTCCCTGCTTAGGACACTTTACTTCTTTGTCCTGTCCCTAGCCCCCCACTGCCTCACGACCAGGCTGACCAGTACGACCTTAGTTGGGACCAGCAACTGAACCTTGCCTACATAGGTGCCGTACCTCACAGTGGCATCGAGCAGGTCCGGATACATTGGCTGCTGGATCTCATCACAGCCAGGTGGGTGATGCCGAGGTGGGTGCCCTGGGAGCTGCTGGTCAGAGCTTGTCTTACAGAGATGCTGAGGTGGTGGATCTGACCTTGTCAAGGCCAGCTGTGGAGCACAGTGCTGGGCTGTCGGTTGGGAAGCATCATGGTAGGGCACAGGGCCAGGACTGCACTGCCTCCTGTTGGGCAGAAGACGAAGGGAAGGTCTGCTTGGCTATGCCAAGGGCAGCCCCTGGACAGAGCACAGGTGGTTTCCTTCTAAGGGTTTCTTAGAAGTACAGAATGGGGTTGGTGTATACTGTGCCTGGCTTTGTACCATACATGTGCCCGTTGTGGTCACCAGTATAAGCTGTGTAGAGACATCATACTTGAAGGTCAGGTTGGGGTTATATCAGTCACATCATCTTAGACAGTGACCCTGGGCCATCTGTTCTGGAGCAGGTGACTGCCTTTGCAAGGGCCCAACCAAGATGAGCACCAGGCATGAGAAGGCCTTTCAGAAATTCAGACCCTTGCCGCTGGGCCATATGTTCAGCTCATACCTGATATCTGGTGGTGCAGGGGGAGGGAAAGTGTCCTTTTGGCATCTTGGAGGCCACATAATTTGCAGGACTTTTTTTCAGATAAGATGGTAACAGAATGTCAAACTGGGCACTTCCTTGGCTGAGGGATCAGATGTGTGGGTGCAGCCACCAGGGTTGAATAGGCACCAGGGGGCAGCAGTGGTCTCAGGTAGAGGGTCTCAATCACTGAATGTTTGGAATGAATGTGTTCCCTTTCCTAGTTGGAGTTCCCTGGCTTTTCCAGGGCAGAGATGGTCCAAGGGTACATCTCTTTAATGATTCCATCCTTCATATCACTCCTACAAAGGAGCTCAGTACTGGCTTGTGGACATGGGTCTTAGTCCTGCTAGAAAGCAGAGTCAGCAGCCCCCAGCTCCTCACGGCGGGCACGTGCAGCCTCCACGGCACTGTGTACACTGGGGAAGAGCAGCTCATCCTCAGCTTCCTGGTCTTCTCCAAGGAAGCCGCCTTTCCTCAATGTGTCCCTCACTGAGGGACTGCAGCAGGCCAGAAGCAGGGTGATGTCCAGGGCTCTGTAATCTCTGTGCAGGTCCTTCAGTGTGGCCATGCCAGCCACATCCAGAAACAGCAGTGGTGCACAGTCAATGACCACTGTGTGGAAACCAAATGCCAGGGGTACCACCAGCCCAGCCCCACTGCTCACTGAACCCATATCTTTGCCGTCAACAAGATTTCTGTCACTGACACCCACCTCTGGGCCCTTCTCCTTCCTGGTGGCTGAGTGCCCTGCGTCCAGCCCTGTGAGGCTATAGAGTGACCGCAAGAAGAAGTCCTTGTTGGCATAGTATAGTGGGCCTGTGAAACGGAACACTCGCACCTCAGGTGGGGGCAGGAGGCCCTCAAACTCAGAAGCATCCTCATAGAAGGTTGAGTCTCCAATTCGAGCGAGAAGGGCAGCCCGTGGACGCTGTGTGCGGATTGCCAGGCTGAGCAGTGAGAAGAACAGCCCAGCTAACAGTCCAGCCTCGGTGCTGACCAGCACACAGGTGGCTGCAGTAGCCACCCAGACCAATGCATCAGCAGGGCTTAGCCACCATAGCTGTGGGAGGTCCTTCACTTTTCGCAGTGCCCCTCGCAGGCTGACAACAATGATACACGCCAGCACACACCTCTGTAGATCACGAAACAGTGGAGCTAGCACCAGCAGCACCAGCAGCACCACAGCAGCACTGACCACACTGGACAGCTGGGTCTGGCAGCCAGTGGCTATCTTCACCAGGGTTTTGGACAGAGCAGCACTAGTGGCAAAACAGTGGAAGAAGGCAGGCAGCACGTTGCAGCAGCCCACAGCTAGCAGCTCTTGGTTGGCTTGAACAGAGTAGCCATGGCTACGAGCAAACATCTCTGCCAACGAGATGGAGAAGGCTGAGCCCACAAGGGCTAGGGACATAGCATCCAGGGACACACGCCACATTATCTTAGGGTCTGGTACCTGTGGGGCTACAAAACCAGTGGGAATGTTGCCAGCCACACTCGAGCCGAACCGAGTATGGAGCTGTCCAAAGTGCGACACAAGTGTGGCCACCACAATGACTAGCAGCTCTGTGGGTACTGGCACCTTCAGGCAGTGTCGGTAGCGGTCTGAGAGCTCCTTAGCTGCTATTAGCACTCCTAGGCACACGGCACTGGTGATCATGTCACACATATTGGCCTGTCCCACACTCTGCAGCAAGCTCAGCCATGTGCGGACCACCATGCCTGGGCCCTGGTGCCGAGGGATCCGCACACCCAGCAGGTGTTTAGCTTGAGAAGTCAAGATGGTCACAGAGGCTCCCATAGCAAAACCGTCGAGCAGTGGTTGTGAGAGGTAGGTAGACACAAAGCCCAGCCGGAGGACACCCATGAGGACCTGTAAATGAAGTACAGTCAGTTTGGTAGGCCATGAGGCAGGAGCTAGCATCAGTATAACTCAAGGGGTTACAGCACAGAGCCTGGTGTCTACCCTTGCTTACTCCCCTGAATGGACTCCTGCTGTTTCCACATGCATAACGGGACAGAAGACACAGGGGCACATGGATGTGGCAGTTGGCTGTGGATGTTCACTTCACACACTCTCACACATGCAGAAATTGGTTTTATTTCAGAATCAGGGCTGCAGGCATAAGGAGGCAAGCCCTTCCCCTGTGCCTTGTATGCAGCACACAGCTCCTTCCACCCAGGTCCCTCCTGGGCAGCCATGGAACAGACAGGAGAAACAGAGAAGACAAGGTCAGCAGAAAAGGTCTAGGTGTGGGGAGGCCAGGGGAATGCCTAGGCCCTGCCTGGGCCAGAAAGCCAAGATGGACATAGTCTAGCTCATCTGAGCCATGGCCATATTTGGCCCAGTGGCCCTTCTGAGACCACAGCTGGCCCGGCCAGCCCACATATCCCTCCATTCTGTGACTTAAGTCCCTCTGGTATCTAGGCCTGGGCCCCACCTTGCCCTTGCTGTGCTGTTTTCTCTCTGAACCTGAAGAATTCTTCCTCCACATGCTTCCAGGCTTTTCCTGGTGGTAGTGGCAACCACCTTCCGGTGCTCTAAGAAACTGAGTCAGCAGCCCGCTTGCTAGACAGCTAACTCCTTACCTGATAAAGTCCCGTCACCAGAGTGAGAGCGGTGGCAATTCGAATGGCATGGCAGTCCCGTCCACAGTCCTGTAGCCCAAGCACCAGTGTTGTAGTTGAGTTGTTGAGGGTGGTGCCATTGTCCCTATGCCCCAGAGAATCCTGGGAGGGGTCAAAACCAGCGAACTGGAGTTCTCGGTCCACCACCTGACCTACCATGAGGCACAGCAGGCTGAAGATGCCCACATTAACATGGCGTGAGGTGCCCATGAGGAAGTAGATAAGGTTGGCAAAGAAGGAAGTATAGAGGCTATAGATGGGCTGCAGCCCAGCCAGCAGTGAGTAGGCTATGGCCTGTGGCACCAGGATAATGCCAATGACCAACCCAGACATAACATCACCTGCCAGGTACTCTTTTGGGCGGTACTGACGCAGCCAGTGTATGGCAGGAAACAGATTCTGCACCAAAGCCTGAGCACATGGCATACTGCAGGTGCAGCTCTGCTTCAGCCTGGCCTTCAGTGTTTCCAGCAAGCCCTGGGACACAGGGGGTTGCCGTCGGACCAGCACCAGTGTCCCATCCTTCTGTTGGGGCTCAGGAGAAGCATCCATCCTGTCAGACCAGGCTCTTTGGCCAATCTGCAAGGGAGAATGGGCATGGTTAGGAGCCCAGGACCCAGCTTCACAGTGAGTGTTTGTCCACCCAAACACACACCAGACATCAGAGATTGTTCTTCCATTAAGCATGTGTTCTTCTGTGTGGATGGATGTAAGGCCTTGAGCTCCAAAAGCTAGTTTTATGGTGAGAGGTGCTTATGACAGGGAGCTATTCTACCCAGCCTCACCCCCAGGTGTGCTCTGTGTTTGTCTAGTTCAGCTCCTCTGTGAAGTCCACTTAAAGCATTCTGAAGATCACCCACCCAAGACAAGGGCTGGACTAGACCCACATATGCCCAAGCCAGTGACAACAGAGACAGATGTATGTTTGACTGAGCTCCAGCCACTCCCCTTCTATCTGGACGGCAAGGGGCTTTGCCAGTTACCCCATTTCCACATGAGTTCTCCCAAGCCATCATCATCTGTTCTCCTCTGAATACCATGGACCTGGAGGTTGGCAGAAGGCCTTGCATATTGTGTGTGCTGAGGCCCCTGGTCTATGACACCCTTCCCCATGAGTTTAGAGAGTGCCTCACCAGGGACCAGTGTGCTCTGGAACCAGTGTGCTCCTTGCTCCGAGTGCTGAGCCTCCTAACCTTTGGCCTAGCTGTTCTGGCCCCTTCTGACTTTGCCTTGGTACTGAAGAGTCTCAGGCCATGCTGACCACATGATGACCTTGGGTCCTGTTTACAGGTTCCAAAGTACTTATTTGTAATATTAATCAAACACTCTCTGTTCTCATGGGACTCAGGACACAGTGGTGACTGTTGGAGCCCATTGTGCCTGGCTTGGGTATTGGAACAGCAGCTTCCCTGCTAGGGTGGTGGTCTATCAGGCATCCTAGCTCTTGAGAAAGATTATGAGAACAATGATACACAAGTGAAACTGAGCGCTCTGAGGCTCACCCCAAGTCTTTGGGGGCTCATGTGTGTGGAGGAAGGACTGTTAAGTGTCATCTTCCTTGTATCTGAGCAATCCCCAGAGAGATGGCAGTCTAGGTTCCTGTCTCTGCCCAGTAAACCACATCTCCTGGGGCCTGTTGTATGGGTACAAGGACAGTTCTTACCTGGGACAGTTGGCCGGCTCTGTAAGGCTTTACAATATCCAGGGACTGCTGTGGGCTGAACCTCCAGTCACTCTGGCTTCTGTTAACAGGCGGAGAACAAGGTTGGCAGACACCTCTGAGACTGATCTGTGGGAATACTCCACTGGGCTCGCTGTTAAATTATTTACCCCCAAAATAGCTGAGTCATGGGTTTCCCCTGTCAAATGAGTGTTACCTGAGCAGCTAATCGGGTGAGCTAATCCAGCGAGTTGTACTATAATCAGAGGCTCACAAATAATTATGGTTATGTGGGCCTCTGATAAACTCCCCTTTGCAGAGGGGTGGGTGCTCCAGGTGCAACAGCTTCTGTAATGTCAGGAGGAAGAGGAGGTGGGGACAGGAGTGGCTGAGGTGCTTGAGTGTGAGGCCCCAGAGGAGCTGAGTGAAACACTTTAGCTATGAGGTTCTGGGGTCATGTACAGCTGACTCCACCTACCCAGATGCTGGTTATCTTCTCTCCACCTTCATGGAGCCTGTGCTAGCTGGGGCAAGCTGAAGCTCAGACTTTGTTCCATGTCCCTGTGTGCAGTATATGCATAAGGTTACTGCTGTGTGTGCACATACTTGTGTGAGTGAACACATGCCTGTGTTGTGCACAGCCCAAGGACTGTCAGCATCAAGATAGGTGTGTTCAATCCTGGATTGGCCTCAGGTCCTGCCCCAGTTCTTTTCCTCTCCTCCCTGGTACTGACTACCAGTGGTCATGGTCAGGTACTTGGCCCCCATGTACCTCTGTAGGACATGGGACTTGCCTTGTAAGGATTGCCTATAGATAAATGGCCCCTTAACATTAGCATAATTAACAGTGCCCTCAGACTTGATGTATGCCTCCAAGTTCTGTAAGGCTGGTCAGAATCTCAGGTTCACTTCTTGTAGTGAGCAATGAGTCTTTCACATTGTGCTTTGAGAGTAAGTAGTTTTGTGCTAACAGGCCTTGATCTTTTCTGTGGGCTGCTGTATTCTGGGTACCCTTCCATCCCGTCCCCTTCATTATTGCTGGAAGGCCCAGCTAGGCTGGTCTGTTATCTCTACAGGCCCAAGCACAGTGGGCAGTTTGCCCTGGGACTGGGCAAAGTGAAGCTATACGCTTTGCTCCTCTTATCCCCAAGGGTCTTGGGAAGGGGCTTAGGATCAACAGTTGTCTTGCAGAACCAGCTGGGACCCTGAGGCTCCATTCCTCCAGGTCAGGAGATAATAATTCAGAGTCCCTTCCAGTTCACAGGTTGGACAGTCCTTTGGGACATCTGCAAGCCTTGTCCAGTTCCTGGCAGCCATGGGTCTGACCACCACTTTGTGGGTGAAATGAACTGGAATGTGGGTAGAATGGCCAGAGCAGGAAGCCTGACTGTAAGACTAGGCAGGGCTGGATGCTCTGTGGCTTAGGCATTCCTCTACTTTTGCTCTCTGGCTCCCCACTGGATGCTGTCCTACCCCTCCAAGTAGGTCTGCTGTTCCTGGAAGAATCTATTTAGTGTCCCAGGGTCTTAACTTACTGCGCCCTGCCTTTGTAGGGCTGGGCTTCCTTTTCCCCTTACAACAAGCCCTGAGCCACTGTTTGCACAGCAGTTGGGAACTGTGGTTTACAGGAGCAGTTACCCAGTGGGTGTGGTGGGGCTAGTCAGAGCAGCCCCTCTTTTGTCAGATAAAAGGCTCCTCTAGTGGTGGTGGGGACAGCTACTGAGGGTGCCGCCTAACCAGTTACCCACAGAGAGGCCTCTGGGGAGTGTACTGTTGCTACATCTTTGAGAAGGGCAGAGCTGAAGTTGTGGAATGGATGGATCTGTAAACACAGAGGTGCTGGGGTGAAGGAGAGGGTGAGAGTATTCAACTTCCCTTCGAAGCAAAGAAAACCGCGTCGGAATGATCCCTCCCTTCTCCACCGCCCTGGGTAGGAGGGATTAAGCCTTACATCACACATCCCCCATCCTCCATCCCCAACCCGCCCTGCCAGTGCCCACAGCCAATTGAAATGTAGATGAAGTCATGTCTTCCATGACTTGCCATGAGTCCCCTGCCCCACTCATTCTTCTGCCTCTACAGCTCTGTGCACTCAGGGTGGTGCTGCAATTGGTGTGACCAGGCCCACTGTCCCACCATAATGTGCTATTGAACTGCGGGCTTCTTGGCTTGCTACTGGACACATATAGGGCAGGGGTATGGGGCCGATAGGGCTGTTTGGTCCTATGCGGCTCAGTGATTTCCTTCTTTTATCTCTAAATCCACCATTTAAATCTTGAATACATTTTATTTTGGAAGAAAATATACCCTGTCCAACAGTGGAAAATGATGAGCTAGACAGGTTCCAGGACCCGATCAGAATTTCTTCCCCAAAATTAGTCCGGGTGCGCACCTTCCTGAGGCTTCAGCAGGTTCTCCCGAGAGATACCGTTTCCGCGCTCCACGCACCACCCCCATCCTGCATAGTTGGCGGTGTCAACAGACCGTGTTCTCTTCGCCGCCCTAGACCTCCCAAGCCTGCTGCGTGCATTGGCCCTGGTGCTGCCGGGTACTGCTGCACTCCTCTGCAGGCGCGTTCCGCCTCCCCGCCCGCTCAGGTTCACCCGCGCTCACCCAGGCACTCACCAGCCGCTGCGGCCTCATCCTCTAAGCGCACGCGCTCCGCCTCTAGCGGGAGGCCTAGAGCAGTGCGACCGCTGCGGGCTAGAGTGAAAGGCCCTTGTGTGCTGCCATTGTGCTTGCCAGTGTGCTGCATTTTTCCCTGCCGCAGCTCAGCTGGGCTATGGCTCAGGCCACTCTGCAGGGAATGGCAGACTTCCCTACACTTCACCTCACTGACTTGCCCTCTCCCCTGTTTAGGATTCTTTAACAACAACACCTTCCAAGGCAGCAGAAAGGAACTAATTCGCAGTGAGGACAAAGGACTGTTCCCTGGGTTTCCTGGGCATGGGAGGCCCTCGAGGTATCTCAATGGTCTAGCTATAGAGGCTGACAGGGGTGACAGGCAAACAGTTAGGTCCTTACAGGGTTGCAGTCTTGGGACATCTCTGATGTGAAAGACTGGCCCAGGAATAGCCCTTTTGCTGAGGCCTGCTCCATGAATTGTGTACTCTGCTTAGTTTGTGAAGACAGGGAGCTGGTGACAGCTTCTGACCAACCCCAACAGCTTGGGACTTTGGAACAAGCGTTTAATCTTTATCCAAGTGCTTGTTTGGCTTTATTTATTTGCAACTGTTTTTGACCGTTGGGTGGGAAGCCAAACAGGTCTGTTTTGTAGCTTTAGGCAGAGGCTCCAGTCCAAAAGCACAGAGGGCAGGCTGGGAGAAGCAGGACCTGAACTTGGGGGCAGTAGCCAATGTGACCATATAGGGTGAGGGATTAATGTGGCTAGAACTGCTGCTTCTTGTTGAGGTGGTTCTACCACCTAGTGTGGAGGCTGTCTCTGACCTACCATCCCACTCCAGACAAACCCATGAGCTGTCTTACATATCTTCTGGAGCTACTTGTTTTTAGCAAGCTCTCAGAACCTGCAGGACTGAGACTGTACTTGTTAGCTGGTGCCTTCAACCAGTGTCAGTTGCAGATTCAGCCCTCAGGGCTGCTCTTCACCCCTTCCCCGGAATTGTAAGCCAGAGACAGCCCCAAGCATCAGCGTCCTGAAATTCATGCAATTGTCCTGTACATTGCTCACAGCTCATCTCAGATCTGACAGTAGACACTGTCATGGCATCTCTTCCTTCATGCCCATTGATGTCTCCTGCTTTCACCTCAATTAACCACTACCAAGATTCTTCCAGAATGTAGTGGCTTTGCTCTGATCACCACCTTACAGGTCTCCTGTTTTGCTCTGAGTCATGTGGCCTGAATCATGTCCGGTATTCATGTGGTCACAAGTCCCTGTGTAACCCCACTCACGTCTCTGTACCTTTGTTCTGCTCCAGGCCAGCTAGCTGCCTTTCTCCTGCCTGACTGCCCTTAGCTTGCTCCTTTTTAAGGGCCTTTGTACCTGCTTGTTCCCCGGATATTCTCATCACTGGTTCATGCCACCACTTGGCAGACCTTTGATGTTACCCCTTTGGTGTAGATGTATCCAACCTTCTTATTAAATAAGAAACACAGAACCAATGCAAAGAAGAAAGCCAAGAGGTCAGAGCTAAGAGCTAAAACCTTACCCTTCCTCCTGCGGTGGTCCTACCTCTCCAAACCAGAGCTACCCCTGTGTTAAAGTCTTTATATAGAGTTCCTGTCCTGCCTTCTCATTGGTTGTAAACCCAACCACATGACCGCCTCCTCACAGCCTGTCTGTATAGGCCTCCAGGTTTTCCATGATTGGTATTAAGATTAAAGGCATGTGTATCCAATAATGGCTGTATCCCTGAACACACAGAGACTTACCCAGCTCTGCCTACCAAGTGCTGGAATTACAAGCGTACGCTACCACTGCCCTGCTTTCCTATGGCTTGCTAATAGCTCTGACCCCCGGGCAACTTTATTTATTAACATACAAATAACATTTTAATACAAATAAAATATCACCATACTTTGGAGTGGTTTCCTCTCCCCATCATCTTCCCCTTTCACTCTGACATTTCCCTTTTTCCAAACTTGTGATGTTTTAATAAAGGTCCAGGCAATTGTCTAATGACTCTTTTCCTCTCAGAAACTGAACCCTATGAAAAAGACCCTGTGTGGAATTGAGGAAGTCCTCCATCTTCTTTTCTTGTCCATCCATTTGTTTCTCAGTATGGAGAGAGGGAAAGGGACTTCTGGGTCAAATTTGGAGCTTTTGGTCTCTGAGAGTGTATAGAATGAGGGTAGTGCCTACTAACTTCTGCTCGACTTCTGTCCCATACCCTGTTCCATGTCAGCTGTCTTTAAGATGCCTCATCACCTCCCCACCCCATCCCTGTCTTGTACCTTTCTTATATGACTTGCCTGTCCCTCTCACCTCAGTGTGGTGACTGACCCGAGCCTGACTTGAATCTCTTTAAAGGTTTCATGCACACACCCATACTCATTCACATTCCACTGTGAGTGACAGAAGCTTCCATAGTACCGTTTTCAGTGTCTTTAAGGCTTAGTGTGGGGTTTTATGTGCACATACTTGTACATAGTGTTTACAGACTTGTACACTGTGACAGACTTTCACAATGCTGGTCTTTTCCAAAGGGAAAGCCCATCTGAAAGCCTAGATCTCCCTGGGAACTTGAGGCACCCACATGCTTAAATGTGGCCCTAGTTCTAATCTAGAGTGTAGAGAAATACCGCTGCTCTCCAGCACTGACCTTCCCTTCACAGGAAGTCATCTGGGCAGGGACTGGTATACAACTTCACCCACTTGGATGCATTCCTGGACCTCCTCATGGAGAACCAGCTCCTCCCTGGTGAGTAGTGGTTCTCCTTTCTCCCACCACCTGCTGTTCTATGTCCTGGTAGGTAGTGTATCTCAGCACAGACTGAGGTGCTGTTGAGGTGTAGCCCAGCTGGGCTTGGTGTGTTGTGTAGTGGGGCAGCTACCCCTTTGTGTTTCAGGATTTGAGCTGATGGGCAGTCCTTCTGGGCATTTCACAGACTTTGAGGACAAGCAGCAGGTGTTCGAATGGAGGGACTTGGTTTCTCTGTTGGCCAGAAGATATATTGGTGCATAGAAGGGGGAAATCCTGGGGGCTACAGTGGGCTGTCCTGGGGAGGCTCTCTTCCCTGATCACCCAGGCCACCTCCTGGTCTTCTTTGCCATAGACATCCCTATACCCCAGCCAGAGATGCCTGATGGGTGAGGGATTCACCTATGGGGGTGGAGTACTTACTTGGAGCCAGATAACCCCTATCAGTGGAACCCCACCCATGGGACCCAATCCCTAGGAGACACCAGATAGGCTCCATCCCCAGACCTGAAGGTAGAACTTCCATTGTGTAACAACAGAGACTCTTTGCAGGTAGGTATGGGCTGACACATGTTTCCAAGTGGAACTTCGAGACTTGGAATGAGCCAGACCACCATGACTTTGACAATGTGTCCATGACTGCACAAGGTGGGCAGCATTTTTCCAGGTCCTGTTGGGTGGGCTGCATGAGAGGGAAGCATGACAACCCCAGACCTTCAAGACCCTTTTGCCCTAGGCTTCCTGAATTACTATGATGCCTGCTCTGAGGGGCTGCACATTGCTAGCCCCATGTTGAGGCTGGGTGGCCCTGGGGATTCATTCCACCCCCTGCCAAGGTCACCACTGTGCTGGAGCCTTCTGCGTCACTGTGCCAGTGGAACCAACTTCTTCACTGGTGAGGTGGGCGTGCGTCTGGATTATATCTCCCTGCACAAGAAGGTATGTTATTCCCCCACCCCTACCTGCCTGCTTTGAGCTGAGCCTGCACTGAGGTATATGTTGACTGCAGGGCGCAGGCAGCTCCATCTCCATCCTGGAGCAGGAGGTGGCAGTTGTGGAGCAGATCCAGCAGCTATTCCCCGAGTTCAAGGACACCCCTATTTACAATGACGAGGCAGACCCTCTGGTGGGCTGGTCACTTCCACAGTCTTGGAGAGCTGATGTGATTTATGCAGCCTTGGTGGTGAAGGTGGGTTCTTGCCATCTGGCCTCATCCAGACTCAGGAAGACTTCCTCTGGTGGGGGTGGGAACAGTATGGGTGGCCAGAGGTACAAGTCCCAACTGCTCTGATGTCCACAGGTCATTGCACAGCACCAGAACCTGCTGTTTGCCAATAGCAGTTCCTCCATTCGCTATGTGCTCCTGAGCAACGACAATGCCTTCTTGAGCTACCACCCACACCCTTTCTCCCAGCGTACACTTACTGCCCGCTTCCAGGTCAACAATACTTGCCCACCCCATGTGCAGCTTCTGAGAAAGCCAGTCCTCACAGTCATGGGGCTGATGGCCCTGCTGGGTGAGTAGTGACCCAGCTTCTGCATATGCTGGGTCAAAGTGAAAATACCACGATAGCCTGGCATGTCCTGAATTGAGTGAGGACCAGCATAGAAGGACCTGGGTTGAGAGAACATGGAAATGCTGGGCAGGGACAAACATATTTCCTCCAGCTGCTGGGTGGGTTTCTTAGACTTGTTTTCCAAATCTCCACCTTATTCCCTCCTCTCATTCTGTGGGCTGAACAGTATGGCAGGACCTCTCAGTATGCAAATGGTGGGAGCCAGGCATTAGGGTAGGAAGCCAGGTGCTGGGTATGAGGGAGCCAACAGCCCCAGTCCTCTGCCTGTCCTGTAGACGGAGAACAACTCTGGGCGGAAGTGTCACAGGCTGGGGCTGTGTTGGACAGCAATCACACAGTGGGTGTCCTGGCCAGCACCCATCGCCCTGAAGTCTCCTCAGAGGCCTGGCGTACCACAGTCCTGATCTACACTAGTGATGACACCCATGAACACCTCAACCACAGTATCCCTGTGACGCTTCACCTTCACAGGGTACCCCCTGGCTTGGGTGAGTGGGGTTCTGAAGGAAGTTGAGAACCCATCAGGGGTGGGACAAGAGAGATAAACCATGGTGTCTGGGTCCACAGGGCTTGTCTACGTAGTACGCTACCTAGACAATCAACTGTGCAGCCCCTACAGTGAATGGCAGCACATGGGCCAGCCAGTCTTCCCCTCTGCAGAGCAATTCCGACATATGCGCATGGTGGAGGTTTGTGGGCAAGTAGGGAGGGAGAAGGGGTTCCTTAATTACTTAGTTACTGTAGAGAGTTGCCAACCACATGCCCCTCCCTTGTCCCCAGGACCCAGTGGTTGAGGCACCACGTCCCTTCCCTGCTGGAGGCAGACTGACTCTACACCGGAAGCTTTCTTTGCCATCACTTCTGCTGGTGCATGTCTGCACACGCCCCTTGAAGCCACCAGGGCAGGCAAGTGGCAGCTTCCCACCCTACCTGTGAGGCTGCCTTGCTCACCCCTTCACAGCTACTCCCTCCTCACAGGTTAGCCGGCTGCGTGCACTGCCCCTGACACGTGGGCAGTTGGTTCTGGTCTGGTCAGACGAGCACGTGGGCTCCAAGTGCGTGAGTGGGGGTGGTTATCCTTCCCTATGTCATTACCCTTGTAGTCATTCACCTCCCTCCTCCATTGCCATGTGCCTTTGTGCTCTATACACACTGCACAACACCTGCACAGATCCACTTGTGTCTGAGTTGGAAATCACCTACAGTGGTAGTGTCCAGTGCTCTCCCCTCACTGTGGCCTGTCATAATTTTGAGAGTACCTAGGGACCCTAGAGGTGCCAGGAAGGGAGCTGAAGAGTATAGAGTTGTGGGTCCACCCTATCCCGCCCATCCAGGCCAGCTGGTCCCAGCTTCAGTACTGATCCAGCCCTCCCCAGGTGCCTGTGGACATATGAGATCCAGTTCTCCCAGAAGGGTGAGGTGTATACTCCAATCAGCAGGAGGCCATCTACTTTTAACCTCTTTGTGTTCAGCCCAGGTACACCCAAATGGACCTCAGTATAATATGGTGTGGGGTGGGTCTGGGGTTTTGGGAACTTCAGAAAATATGTGCTTTTGTGTCTGCAGACACAGCTGTGGTCTCTGGCTCCTATCGAGTACGAGCACTGGACTACTGGGCCCGGCCAGGCCCCTTCTCAGACCCTGTGACTTACGTGGATCTCCCTGCCTCATAAGAGCCACTGGCTCCTAGTGACTGGTGAGCCTGTGCTGACTAGTGAATGGGGTCAGCCAGGTTGAGCTAGACTGCCATTAGCTAGTTAGTTGACTATCATCTCCTTTTGTTGTTTCCCCATTTCCTTTGAAAGTATCTTTCTCTACCTCAGTCTTGGGGTCTGCTTTGTGGATGAACACTACAGAGGGCCCAGCGGGAGTAACCTTTGCCTGCTTTTCTCCTTCTTCCCAGCTGTTCAAAGTTTAACTCTGGAGTTGGGAGGACGCTCAGTGGGTACAGTGCTTGCTGTGCAGGCATGAGGACCAGAGTGCAGACATCTATTCAGAGTTTACAGATTACTCATGTAAAGGCTGGACATGGCGATGTATGCCTGTAACCCTAGTGTTGGGGGGAAGGACAGACACAGGCCAGGCTCTCTGGCCATCCAGTCTACCTGGAACTGCAAGCTCCAGGTTCAGTAAGAAATCCTGTTTCAGAAAAATCAAGTGGAGAACTATAGAGAAGATACTCAATATTGACCTTTGGTCTATACACACACACACACACACACACACACACACACACACACACACACACACCTCACATACACAAATACACACCCACCCCTCAAACACACCACAGATCACACTATGCACACACAGTCTAAATTCTGTCCCTTTTCTGAGACTCAAGACAAACTCTTAGCTTGAGATTCTGTAATATCAAAAAGAAAGTTATGTACTTCTGAAATACAATTGCACAGGGTAAATATCTCCATTTCAACAGGAAAATAAATGACAAGGAAGGATTTAATTGAAGCAAGACCAAGCATTAAATCCTGCAGATACATTTCCAGAATTGGGGCACATGTTATTGTGATATGAACTCTAATGTGCTAGACAGTTCTATCTTTGTGGTGTTGCCATTTACAGCCCTTGTGACCTTTCTCCTAGGCTGGTGTCTTAGGTTTTCCATGCTGTGATTAAACATGATGAACATAAGCAACTTGGGTAGGAAAAAGTTTATTTCACTTACATTTCCACATTACAATCTATCATCGAAGGAAGCCAGGGCAGGAACCTGGAGGCAGGAACTGATGTAGAAGTCATAGAGAAGTGCTGCTTACTGGCTTGTTCTCCAAGGCTTGCTCAGACTATGTTCTTATACACCCCAGGACTACCAGCCAAAGGTGGCACCTCTCACAATGGCCTGGGCCCTTCCACATCAATCACTAATTAAGAAAATGCAACACAGACTTATTGCTCATAAGTCAATCTTGTTAGGGTGTTTTCTCAGTGAGGTTCCCTCTTCCCAAATGACTCTAGCTTATGACAAATCGACATAAAACTATCCCAGTCTTGCCACATATTACCTGGCCTCCCAAGTCTTCCTTTGAAATCTGGCCAGAAGCCTACATAACCCTGTAACTGTAATTCTTGTATTCTGTCTTCTAAGCCAGCATGCTGTGGATCACACAAAGGTCTATTATCAGCTTGAATGGTAGTTGAGGACCCTTGAGCCATCCATGACTGCTGTAAACTTGGAGTGCCTTGTTGCTTAGCCCCATGCACTTGGGCAGAACATTATGACGATGGTAACTTGTAGAGGGGAAGGCTGTTCACCTCATGGGGAACAGGAAGCAATATAAGGATAAAATTAAGTGTAACCATCAAAAACACTTCTTCATGGACCTGCTTTGTCCAACTAGGCCCTAGCTCCTAAAGTTTCTAGAATCTCCCAAAACAGAACCACTACCTGGAAACCAATTGTTTAACATGTAAGTCCTTGGGGGGTGTATTTAATATTCAAAATTGGCTGGATATATCACCTTGGTTCTGGCCATTGGAAAAACCCTCTCTCTTTAAGTACCAGTATTAAGTGTGCTAATACACAGCTACATCCCTTTCCAGGTGGCCTGCTGGACACATGTGTCCTTAATTCATTCTGCACATTTTCCTTCTCTCCAGCATCCCATGGAAGCCCAACATACAGAAATTTGTGCTGCAGCCTAGGCCTGCTGCCAAGCTTTTCCAAGTTAGCATTACCTACTGTCCAGGAATAAGTCTGAATGGAATACTTGTATATACTTCGTGACTACATCCAAATTGAGAGTTCCTCTGGCCCTGTGCCTCTTAGAAGTGGGCAGAGTGAATGAAATACAATGACTTTCTGTAGTGCTTTTTATCCCTTTGTGGACCTTAGGCTGGCCTTGAAATCCTGATCCTTCTATCTCAGCCTCTGTAGGACTAAGATTATGGGTATGTACCATCATGCCTGTCAATGACCCCTCACTTTAAATAAAATATGACATTTCCCACTGCCGTGGGATCACCACAGGCTTCCCTGGAGGATCTTGAGCTTTTCAGAGCTTGTCTTCCACCTCTTGGAAGTATGTTTTACTAAGCCCTCCAGGGCATGTAACTTCTTGCCCACCAAGCCCAGTGAGCATGACTAGCAGGTTGCATTAATTTTGGAAGAGTGATGTCACCAGGCAAACTTGAGGTGTGCTGACATCCATTATGAGAAAGTAGACTGCTCTTGATGAGATAAAGAGTGCTTTCCAGTGGACAAGCTGATGTGTCAGGCAGCCAGCCCTCAGATAAAGTGGGTGTTGACATGGTCATGTTTCAGCAAACCACCAACATTTAATATCCCTGGGGCAGGTTATGAGGATCTGGAGGGAGACCTCTCAGTCTCCCACTCTGTCCTGGAAACTGGAAAGGGGCCTAATGGGTGGTCTTCAGTACAAGCCAACGTTGTCTGCTGACAGATGTCCCTAAGCCTCACTGACCAGTAGGCCACTTAGTTTTCAGGTAACAGGACTGCAGCCACTCAGACCTATTATCTAATCACCGTAGGAGTTCATCTTCCCTCTTCCAGGTGGGACCTAGCCTTCCTTGTTCTAGGTTCTGTGTCTGTAAAGTGGGTCAGGTCAGTAATTAATATGAGGCCCTGGAGCAACATTGTGATAGTTTGTGCTGGCAAAGGTTCCTGTGGGCCCATGTCCAGCAGCACTCTGCAGCCTATACTCTGTGGTGTAGGTAATAGCTCAGGCCCTCTCATCTTGTTGATGGTATTTATCTTACTGGTCCCTTCAGTGTCACAGACTTTTGCAGGGACATTACTGTGTAAGTACTTGAGCAATACCCTTATTCAAGAGCCAGCTCAGAAACATCCCATCTGCCTGTGGTGTAGTTGCTTCCAAAGGGCTTTGGATATTGTTTGGTACACTGACCATTGTCCCTGTGTACATCACCAGCTTCCTAGCCACAGTATGTGCAGGCAGAGTATTGTCCAGGTCCCTCATCCCGACTTTTGAACCCTGTAGGTACTCAGGTATACACCACAGACTTCAGACCCTTGATACTCTAGACAGTCAAGGCAGGAACTATTGAGGAAAACAGCTTACTGGTTGCTCTTCATGGCTTGCTCACCTTGCTCTCTTATTCTAGACCGTTCCACCTGACCAGAGATGGCATTAGCCACAGTAGTTTTAAGTCCTCACATCAATCATTAATCAAGAAAATGCCCGAAACTTGCCTACAGACCAATTTGATGGAGACAATTCCTCAATTAAGGTTTCCTGTTCACAGATCACTCTGGCTTGTGTCAAGTTGACAAAACCTAATGGTCTATGTCGTAATGTCACTTCTGACCCCGATGACTGGGCATAGTTGGTCCTTGTCTTTTCTCTTGGTTTGACTTCCATATCTCCTTTTCCTCTCTTGATCCCCTTCACTCATGGCCCAGTTCAGTTTGGACACTTCCAGATGCCTCTGGCTGAACTCTCCCTCATATCTACAATAAAACCCTTCTCCTCAACCATACCTTGGAGCAATCATGTCCTCGTTTTCATTCAGGTGGCTGTATTAGTTACTTTTCTATTGCTATGGTAATACACCATGACCAAGGCATCTATGGAAGAATTTATTCTGACTTAGTTTCAGAGGGATAAAAGTTCATTATGGCAGGAAGGCATAGCAGTAAGAAGCAGGTATGGTCTTGGGAGCAGGAAACAGAGGTCATGAATCTTCAACCACACACACAAAGCAGAGAGAGTGAGCTGGAAGTTGGGTGAAGGCATAAATTCTTAAAAACCTGCCTCCAATGTAGTCTCTTCTGAAACTCAAGACAATCTCAAAATAAAAAAGGAGTACTACATTATATACACATATGTATGTATGTTCCAACATACAAGGACACAGAATATGCCTTAGCCTTTCCAAAGGGGAGCAATGGGGGTGCAGTGGGAAAATACTGGACCTAAGTAAGACTGAACCCAGGAGGAAAAACAATAAATCCTATAGCTCCATGTCTAGTGCCAAGGACTTCGGATTTAAAGTACTTAGATGGGACCCCCACCCCCTGCTTTGCTGCCTGAAACATACATATGTCTTTTGGGGATGGTTTCAATGCCTGCCTGCAGCTCTCTTTGGCAGATGCCTTATGGCTAAGTGTCTCCAACATACTGGGGTTCATTTCAACCCAGCTTCACTGTCACAGCTTCATGCAATGGCCTCTCACAGCCTCTTCATGCATGGACTCCTCTTCCAAATACTGCCTGACCTCAGTTGGAAATAAAGCTGCTGTGAACATCTGTGCATATATCTTTTGTGGACCTTCATTTCTGTTGGGCATGGGTCTGGGAGTATGATGCCCGGAGCATATGTTAGATTCAGGCTCAGTTATTCAAGAACCTGTGAAACATTTCAGCTAGCACATGTGACAGTTTGCTGTACTTCTTGCTGTGATGGATCTTTATATTGTGATTTTCTATCTTGCCACCTTGCCAAAAATGCACAAGTCATAGTGGACACTGAAGTGCCCACACAGTTGGCTTTGTCCTTTACAAATAGGGTATGTTCTACTTCTTCCCTCCAATCTGGATCTCTCACTTGCTTTTTGTTTTGTTTTTAGATAAGGCCTCACTATGAAGCCCAAGTTAGCCTCAAGCTCATAATCTTCTTGCCTTAGAAAGAGATCATAGGTGTGTAGCGGCATGGATATTTCCTGTGATTAATGCACTGAGTAAGGACCAAGGTGAAGGACTAAACAGAAGACAAGACTGAACATAAGCATCTAGTGCCTCATTTTAGGGGAAAGTAGTAGCCTTTCACTTATGTGTGAGGCTGACTATAATTTTTTTCTTTACATTTTAATTTACTTTGATAGTTACCTTTTGCCAAGCCAAGGAAATTCCTTTCTATCCCTAGTTTGGGAACAGTCCATTCTGAGAGTCAGGAAGGAATGCTGACCTGTTTTGTGTTTTTCTGTGTCTCTGTGACCATCACCTTGGCTTTCCTGAAGTGGTTGGTTTTTTGAGGCAAAGCCAGTTTTGTAGCTGTAGAGAAAGAAACCTTTACTGATCATGACATAATGTTCTTTCTTACATTTAGGAGTATGTGTAGAACCACATCACCATCCAGAATGGAACCATCTGGGCCTAGGTTTTTGTTTTGTTTGTGGTGTGTGTGTGTGTGAATATTGTATGCATATGTGCATGTGTGAAGGTTTTAATTAAAACTTCCAATTATTTAATAGACACGGGGCTGTTAAAGTTACCTTTTTAAAAAATTTTCTTGAGTTAGTTTTGGTGGTTTCTGTCTTCTAAGAAAGCTGTCTATTTTGTCTGAGTTGTCAAATCCACTGACATAAGATGATTTTTATTCTCTATTATTCTTGTAATTTCTCCTGCAGGGCTGTTTGTATCTGTTAACTTTTGTCCTTCCTCTGTGTTTTTCTTTGTCAATTTTCTTGTACTTTCCAATGAATCAAGTTCTGATTTCCTCTTCTTTCTCTACAGCTTTTCTGTTAACTTCTGTGGCATTACCATCCCTCCCTTCTGCTTCCTTGGGTTCTACTACTCTGTGTTCCTTGTTCCTTTAGACAGAAGCTGAGCTTGTTCATTTGAAAGTCTTTTTTAATCAGTATTGCTATAAAATTTCCTATAGTATCCCCCCTACCCCTTTCACTCATGCATACTGGGCAAGTGCTCTACCACTGAATGACACCCATCTCTATTGTTCATTTTTGCAATAATTCCATTGGGATCAGAGAACATGCTCTGCATTATTTGAATCCTTTTAAATATTTGAGACATGTGCCCTGACCCCAAGTGGTAAACATTAATTATGCTAAATAAATTGACATTGTTGTCCATAAAGTTATCTTCTGGGAATGCTGAAGTCTCTCAATGTAATTGTAGATTTGCCCATTCCTCTGCTTAGTTCTATTAGCTTTTGCTTCAGAGATGTTTGTCTGTTATTAGGGTTTCATGTACTTTTACAAACGCCAATTTATTTTTATGGAATGGCCCTGCTGACCTCTGGTAATATTCTTTGTTTTGCAACCCACTTTGACTTGTCCAGATTCTTTTGACTAGAGTTAGTATGATTTATCTTTTTTCTTTTTCTTTTCTTTTCTTTGGTTTTTCGAGACAGAGTTTCTCTGTGTAGCTTTGCACCTTTCCTGGATCTCGCTCTGTAGACCAGTCTGGCCTTGAACTCACAAAGATCCACCTGCCTCTGCCTCCCAAGTGCTGGGATTAAAGGCATGTGCCACCACCACCCGGCCTCTTTTTTCTTTTTCGTTTCAACCTATTTGTGTCTTTTTTTTTTTTTTTTTTTTTTTTTTTGGTTTTTCGAGACAGGGTTTCTCTGTGTAGCTTTGCGCCTTTCCTGGGACTCACTTGGTAGCCCAGGCTGGCCTCGAACTCACAGAAATCCGCCTGGCTCTGCCTCCCGAGTGCTGGGATTAAAGGCGTGCGCCACCACCGCCCGGCTATTTGTGTCTTTAAAGAATTTTTTTTCCTAGATAGCATATGGTTAGGTCTCCCCCACTTCCCAATCTGGACATTCTCTGCATTTTATTGTAGATGTTTAGAATATTTACATTTAATGTCATTATAGATAAAACTAGGTGTATATCTACCATCTCTGTTGTTTTTTTTATTTGCTCTTTCTTCTTTGGGATGATGTTTTTCCTTTTTCTCCTGTATCGCTCCATTATGTGAAATTTTTGATGCTTCAGAGAATTTATACTAAACTTACTTTTTTAGATAGTCTTTCTATATTACCTGGGACCCAGTCTGAACTCCTAGGCTAGAACTACAGAGAATGGTGTCGTCAAGCTCTGCTCCCTGTTAAGCGTTTTTAGCCTGTTGCAGTTTAGCTTCAAATGGCATTGTATTACCTCATAAGCAGAAAATTACAACATTATATTTCCATTTTTCTTTTCAGAGTTTGTGCTGTTGTGATTATATATTTTAAACTTTCATGTAAGTGGGGTGTGGTGGTGAATACCTTCAATCCCAGTACTTGGGAGGTAGAGGCAGACAGGCAGGCAGGCAGGCAGGCAGATCTCTGAGTTTGAGGCCAGCCTGGTTTCTTTGGTGAGTTCCAGGCCAGCCAGAACTACAAATTAAGACCCTGTCTCAAAAACAAAAATAAAATAATCTTTTTTTATTTAAGCTCTTAAATGCATTGTTATTTCTTACTGTAAACAGTTGTCTTTTCTATTCTTTTTGAAACAGGGTTTTATTATATACCCCAGGTTAGCCTCAAACTTATGATCCTACTACTTCAGCCTACAGAATGTTGGGATTACAGAAATATGCTACTATGCCTACCTTTAAATAGTTACCTTTTAAAGAGAATTAAATAAGACAAGCATTACTTATATTGATTTACTCATGCAGTACTACTGTGATCCCTGTCTCTCCTAAAGAAGACACACAACTTGTGTGTCTTCATCTTCAACTTCTTTAGAACAGATCTGCTGGCCACAAATTCTTTCAGCTCCATATTCTTAATTTAGCCTTTTCTTTTAAAGGCATTTTGCTGGCAAAGAACACTAGCTTGATGGGTTTCTTACCCTTACTTTTGCAATTATCCATCATCTTAATTCTGGGCACTTAATTTCATACCTAGAAATTGGATATGCAGCTGCAAACCCCACCCCCATTATTGTAACATCTCAATCTTCCCTGTAGCACTCCTCCCATCCTCCACACACACTCTCACTCTGTAGTCCAGGCTGGCCTAGGACTCATGCTCCTTCCTCAGTCTCCTAAGTGCTGAGATAACTGACCACTCCTGGCTTCTTGCAGCATCTAAAATACAGAAATAGTCACAGAATGTGATGTTTCTACTTTCTAACTCTGCTACCTGTTGCTTCTGATCAATTTTGAGTGACTGCCCACCTTCCCTATCTGAGTTACAACTTTACATTTCTTTTCATGTTTTTATAGGACATCTGGAATTATGCTGAGTATTTCTATTTCTGCGCATGCTTCTGTGATGTGACTGGGTTACTTGGAAGCTGGGAGATCCTCTGGGTCTTGTTTTCACACATCAGGAGGGGGCAAAACTCCTTGGTCTGAGTGATTCTCCCCCACTTCAACTGAGGCAGGCTCCTTTTTATATTCTAGCTACTGCCACTTGAGCTTTGAGGTCCAACTTGGGTGGTGGACACTGTATCTGACTGACCTCAAGTCGCTCCTGTTCTCCTGGTATTTCCCTCCCATGCCTTCCTTGCCCTCTCCGGAGGCCTTTGTGCTGGGTGGGGTTCTCTGAAGTCTCTGGAGCTCTGTGTATTTTGTCTTCTTGCCTTCTATCTGCATCTCATCTGGGCTCTGCCTGGGCGTGATAAGGACAGCAGTTGGCAGCCATTTTCCAAAAGGTGCTGTCTGTCTTTGCTACTATGTCTTCAGTGGCTTTCATATTTATTTGTCACTGTTACTGTTTCAGGTGAAAGTGCAAATCTGATCCTTACTACATCTCAGTTCTCTGCAGATCTTTTTGGGGGGGCATGTGTACTTTTCAGTCTCTGCAGCTGATAAGAGGCCATCCTCGCATTAGACTGTGTGCCTTATTCAGCCACACTGCTAGGCCATCACTGAGCCTGGTCTTACCAAGGCTCAGAGAATGAGGATCACAGAAAGAGAACTGGGGACTGCAGGGACTTACCTGTGCCGGCAGATGCGACAAACAAACTCAAACCGGTGATGGTACCGACTGGGATTGCCTACTGGATACATAATAGCCAACCGCCTAGGTTTCACTTTTAAAGGGGGCAGGGCTTGCATTCAATATCCCAAACTCCGGTTTCGGGTTCCAAACGCAGTGAGGCGAGGCGAGGCGAGCCAGGTTCCAGAGCTGCGCTGCGGTTTCCGGACAGCAGGAATGGGCACACTGTGGGCTCCAGCAGGACGTGGCGGGGCGGGGTTGGTTAAGTTCCCTCGGGAGCTGCTGGACCCGTCACCTCCGCCAGGTGGCAGCGTGTTCTTGTGCCGGGCAGGGGTAAGACAGAGTCTGGGCAGGCCACCTGGAACAGGTGCAGGGGAGCGGTCTCCCCATCAGGGAACAGTGAGGGTGAAGGGGGACTGGAGGATTCTGGCTGGAGGCGGTGACTAGGGAATTAGGGCCCTGTGGTGGCCAGGAACCAGGAGGGAGGCAAAGGGTTCCTGGCACACCTGCCCTGACACCTACTTCTTTGAACAAGCCTCACCCACCTGTGGTCTCTGTACCTTCCGAAACTCCTCCCCACTGCCCATTTTTTCCTGCCCCTTGGGCTCACCTCCTGCTTTTAACCTCCCCACACTTCAGAGCCACCTTGACACACACCTGCCCTTGGCAGCAACACACCTGTTGGAGCTCTTCATGCTTCAATGGCATCTCCTCACAAAACTTTCTGTGGAGCTAGGGCCTACTCAGAAGAGCCAGGACCACTCTATCCATCTGTTTTGAATGTTGTCTGTGACATGAGTGCCAGGCCAAGTCCTCTGGTAGCCCATTGAACGTCCTGTGGGCTGCTTCCGAGACAAAGTTTTGGAGGTGAGATGACTACTAGATGGGTCCCTGGGCCTTCATGCAGGGAGCAGAGGGGCACAGGAGCCATGATAGGCTCACTTCCACTTGCCCACCAGGCCCAGAAACAGAGTTTAGAGCTAGCGACACTAAGGGATTCCTCGGTTTCATTTTTTTTTTTTTTTTTCTGGAAGGCTTCCTAGAAGAGGGGGACTTCTTAGCTCAGAGAGGCTGTTTGGATCAGGGTCCTTGAGAGCAGAGCATAGGGGTGATCTCTTGGGAATGGAGTGCTCCTGGGACCTGTTGGGTAGCTAACTCCCAGACGTCTAACGCCTCAAAAAGGATTATGGGTTTTGTATTGAGTGACCCATGTTTTGATGAATTTTGGCTCTGGTGAGTGAGGGTAGGCAGGAAGCTGTGGTGTGGTTGGTCAGAGAGCTGCTACTGGAGAGAGCTGGTGAGGCCTGGGAACCAGATGGTTTGTCTTACCCCATGTGATCATGGATAACTCACCAGTCTTTTCTGACTGTTTGATGGGGCAGCAACACACCTGCCAAGTAGCAAAGACAAAAGGGTGTATTGACTTATCCACGTCTTGTGAATACCATCAAAAAGCAAGTGAGGTGCAGAGAAGCCACAGGACCCTATCTGCCCTCCTAAGGTCACTAGGTAAAGAAAGCTAGATGCTCAAGTCAGGGTCTCTTTGGACTTCAGCAGTGGAGACCTGCCTCTACCTCAAACCAGAGCAGCCCAGCGACCTTCTCTACTCACAAAAGCTCCAAGGGTCGCAGATTTCAAGCCTAGTAGTGTTTTGGGCTGACCACTTCTCTTCCTCCTGGGCTACTAGGCTAGAGCCAGGGCAGTAGCGGCCAGCTCTAGGAGCCAGGGGAACTCAGAGTACAGCCTGCTGGTGAGGGTATGGAGTAGGCTCCGCGGCCATCAGCTGGTCTCGAGGCTAGCGAGGCGGCGCGTTCCCAGAGCACACAGGGACCGGGTGAGGCCAGGCAGACTAGGCGCGCTCCAGGGAGCCGCTGGTGTGAAGGGCAGAAGTACTGCGAGGGTTAAGCTGCGAGCCTGGCTGGCACGCGCGCGGATTGGAGCAAAGTTTCGGGGAGGGGCGGGGCACAGGGAGGACTGGACTCGCAGATTGGCCGGAAGTTGTGCGGGGCGGAGCTCACAGCTGCTCCGCGCTCGCTCCGGGAGAGTTGACAAAGCCCCGCAGGGAAGGACGCCTCGCGGCGCGGCGCCCCGGGCCCCTCGCCCTGCCGCCCCTCGCCCCGGCCCGCGCCTAGCCCCGCCGTTTATCCGCGTGGACAGCGCGCCCCGCGCCCCAGCCCGGCCCCACCCGCCAGCGCCCAGGTAGCGCCGCCCCGCCCAGGCCGGGCCCGGGGGCGCGGGGGGCGGGATGCGGCGCCCGGGGCAGCGATGACCGCGGCGCTCTTCTCGCGGGCCCGGCCCTGACCCTGCTGCCTGCCGCGCACCGCGCGCCGATCCCTGTCGAGGTGAGCCGGACCGTAGGTTCGCGACCCCTGGAGGGAGGGCTGGAGTGGGTCGGAGTGCGGGGCGCGAAGGGCAGGGCCGCGATCACTGTGCGGACTGGGGGCCGGGCTCGCGCCGAAGCTTCTCCTGTGGAGCCCGCGGCCCTGCCCCGCGCCCCGCCCCCGCCCGCGCCCCACGTGGGCCCCCCAGCGCAAATTTGTCCGCTAATGGCGCAGGCGATTATCTGCGGGGCCGCTCGGTGTTGTGTGTCCCGCGGGCAGGGCCGGAGTTACAAGCGCCAGGAATCCAGACGGTGTTTGGAGAGGGGGCGGCGGGGGCGGCTGGTAATTAGTGTAAACCCTTTGTCTGCCTTTGATACGCTCAGCGTCTACGCGCCGCGCTTCCTTTGCCTGGAGCTCAGCGCCGAGGGGGGCTGGACCCTGGCTCTGCGGCCGCGACCTGGGTCTTGCTTGCTTGAGCCCTGAGCCCTGAGCGGCGTCCACTCCAGCTCCCAGTGACCGCGTCCCTACTCCAGGTTCGACCGGCGAGATGACGCGGACCCTGGCGCTGCTGCTACTGCTGCCGCCGTTGCTACTGGGGGTCCTCCCGTCGGCTGAGGCGGCGCGAGGTGAGTCCTGGCGCCCAGTCTGGCGCTCTGGCCTCAGCAGCGCCGCCCCTTTCCCGCCAGCCCTGAACCCTGCCACAGTGCCCTCCTGGCACACTCCGCCCCTCCTTGTCGGCCCCATCGCAGCGGGCCCCCACTCCTGATCCTTAACCCGAAGTCCTACCGGCTTCACATGCCTCCAGCTCAACTCATGGGGTTACATGGCTCACACTCTGGTACCCCCCAACTCACCCTCCTTGGTTGACACCTCACCTAAAGGGCCCCAGAATAACTTAACTTGTTGGCCAAGTGTGATCTTACCTAGGTCCCCTTCAGGATATGCACACAATCTTGCATACACATACTTTAAGGTGGAGGGCAGGTGGTCACCCCATAGACTCTTGGGGAGTAGACTCAGTGGCCACAGAAAACCTGATTAGGTCCCTGGGAACCTTTAGAGACTCACATGGTGGCTAGCTGAATATAGAGAATGTTGGTGACATTTTGGTGATTGGAGCTCTCCCTGATCCAGCCCTCAGCTGACCCAGCTCTGGACCCTTGGCTTGCTTGTCTATTACAGGTAGCGTAGTGTAGAGGCTCTGGGGAAGGGGGCCCCCAGAGCACAGGGCATCACTGAACAGTGAGGGTTGGTCTCTGAGGAAGACACTTGAAGATATTAGACCTCAGGGCCACACACCACTTTGTTGCAGCATATACCACACTACAGCTTGGATACAGCCTCACCCATCTGATGTCCTGTGGAGAGCTCTGCCCTAGACCCAGCCCTGGCAAAGGGCATCCATAACTGATGAGTGATACATGCCTGTGGATTTTTGCCCACCGTGTTCCAGTGTCACGGGGCATGGTGCTGGCCTCCCCTATGGTTAGGCAGGACTCATGGCCAGGCGGGCCCTTTGGGTGTGTTGACCATTCAGGATTGTCCTTGCTCTGTCCACCAGTCCTCTGAGGCTTCGCATCTCCTCCCCCCGCCACCAGCGCGGGCGCACTGAGCCCAACCTGGCCTTATATGGCCACGTTTGGTGTTGGGCCGTAGGCGGCGGCCCAGGTGGGCCTTATGCCACTATAACCCCCCCTTCTGCATGGGGACTGGCAGGCTGGAGGGTGGGGGCTGTCCAGGCACAGCTGGGCTGGACAGTGTCTTGGGCATGTAGGCGCTTGGGCCATGCTGAGTGAGTTGTCTCTTCACCCCCAACCGGTGGTCCAGTCTTTGATTGCTCTTTTATCTGTTTGGATAACTCCCATCCCTGCACCTGCCTCTTCTTTGGCTGCTCAGCCAGGGAGACTCTGAGGGCCTCTGCTCTGCCATGATCACTGGATGGGACCTTAAGGCTGATTGATGGGTGACCGTGAGCAAGCAGCACCCTACCTTTTTGCTGATGGCCCTAGAGGGGCCACCACTTCTGCCTTTGTCTCCCTTGGCGACAGCCTTTGGACTGAGCCTTATATCTAGCCCTGGCTGTGCTAGTGAGGCCTCTGGCCAGCACTAGGGAGTTGGAAAGAACTGCCTTCCAAGGGCAAGGGCCCTGTGGTTGGAGTGGAAGAATGGTGTTTCCTGAATTATGCTGACTTCTTCCTTCAGGCACAATCTGGACTGGAGGGGCAAAGTTATTCCAAATGCATTCCTTCTCTAGTGGTTCTTCCGTGAGTAGACCCAATTTTGATCTTAAGTTGGGCCAGAGAACTGCATGTAGAGTTTGGGCTGTTTTGAAATTCATTTCCCTGGGGTGTCACAGTTATTGGAATCCGTACATCTCTAGATTCAGATCATATTTTAAAAGTTCCCCTTTGCCCAAAGTTTCACAACGTTGGTCAGTTTGCCTTAAGATATTTCCCCCCAAACTTGGAGAAAGATAAGTTTTGGTTTACTCTGTTGTATTTCTCACAGTGAGAATGTAAGTTTCAGAACAGAATACCATTCTCAAAGATGAGTCTGCAGTGTAGGGCCTTCTGAGAAATGCCACCTCTGAGCTTTTATAAGGATGGCTCCAGGATTAGTCTCTGAGCAGCCAGCACAGGCTTCTCTCCTGTCTTTTGGACCCAGCCTTGTGTTTGGAGTGAGCTGGGCCTTGATCAACAGTTAGAGTGCCTGCCACAGCTGTCCAATGCAGCAGGGACAGCATAGTCTCAGCAATTTGCCTAGAGCACTGTGGTGTGGAGAAGAAGGATATGTGATGCTTAGGAGATGATGACTGGCCATTTGTGTGGAGGCTGACCCTGACTTTTAACCAGGCTGTAGGAGGCCTCTATTTTTCACAGACTGTGGCTGATCAGAGTGTGGCTGGAGTGAGGTGGATGTTCGGGAGCCAGGCCTAGCCCCTGTGAGGTAGGGATGTGGGCCAGCCTCCCATTCACATCTGGGGGCCTATTCCTGGAAGGGAAAATAAATCACTGTCCCCCTGGGGGTGGGGAGGGAGCTGTGAACAAAGTCGCCTTTAGCTAGGCCTGGAAATACCAACCACAGGCTCCTTTATCCTTTGTGCAGGATCAATGGGCCTCTGGGCTCTCAGAGTTGCCTTTCACTCCGCCTGCCCTGTACTGTGGCCCCTACTAGGGAAATGTTGGTTTTTCCCTAGCAGAGGCCTCTAGTCTCTGGCTTTCCTGGCCTTGGCTCAGTCTTTGCTGGTAGTGCCGGGGGCAGTTGGCTGTGGCCCAACAGCCCTGCTCCCCCTACTGGCCACTTGCCCTCTGTATAGCTTGGGCCGGATGCTTGGCCCATGGTGGCCTCTTCTCTCTCGTTTTGTCTTAATGTGGTGACTCCAGAATACATAGGGGTTAAGGTGCGTCTAAGCCCTTGTTCCCATACTTCATTGACACTCCCCTCTGCCTGCTACCTGCTCTTCTGACCAGTACTCCTGCCTATATCTCAAGGGGGAGATCAGGGGGTTGCTGGGAGTGGGGTGGGGTGGGGTCTAGAACCTCAGGCTGGGGTACAGACAGAGTAGGCTCATTGGGAGTGTGGGCTAGATAGGCCTAAGAGAAGTAGACAGAAGGTGTATGCCATTGGGCAGCTGTTAAAAGAAAGAGCTTCCCCCTGAGCAGGAAGTACAACCCCTCTTTCCACCAGGAGTTTATTTCCTGAGAGATTTCTATGGGCTGCCAAGGGCCTGGAAAGCTATTTGCTGGTGCCTTCAGCAGTGGGTGGGAAGCGAGCCAGCTGCTGTTCTGACTCAGGTGTGGGGCTGGACAGCAGGGGAAGGTTCCAGCCCTTGATGACAGTCCAGGGCTACAAGGCCAGAGCCTTCTGCTGAGCTGCACCCATACTCATGGAAGCCCACTATTTAGCTTCTGATGGTAGCAGTGTGATTTGGGCTAAGGCTCTGTACCACATATTGCTGCAGGCAACTGGGACCCCTGGGGACCTCTCAACACCCTCAGTTCTGACCTGAAGAAATCCCTTTGTCAGCAGTGCTGTGGGTTTTGGATGGGTTTGCCTGGACTATTTGGTTTAGGCCGTCCCAACAACCCTTCAGTCTTTGTAGGGGCTAGGTAGCACGTTGCCTTAACACTTGACCTCTGCCTCAGGAGCTTTGGGTTCCGGAAATAGACTTATTGACAGTTTTTGAGGTATCAGGGGCTTCCAGGATCAGAGTCAGGCCTTGTTTAGGGATGGGAGCCCTCTGGTTGCCCTGACTTGAAGCTAGACTATTGCCCACCAAACTAATGTTTGTAAGAAGAGGGTCAGGGGCTGGGTGTCTAGGTGAGTCCCCCTTAGTGAATCCTGAGGCATTCACCTTCTATGGATGTTGTGTGTGTGGTTCCTATAGGGTGGTGACCTTAACTAATGATACCCATGCTACTATATGTGGTCTTGGTGGGTCAGAGAGTGTCTAGGAACTAGCAATGTACAGATGTGGCAACTGAGGTATTCCAGAAAGAGGTGCAGACCCAGGGGACCAGGCAGTGCCCCCAGAGAACCCCTCCCCACATCCTGCTGGCTGACCTAATTGCCAGTGCTGGGCAACAGGCAAACTAGCTCCACTAACTAGCTTGCTGGAACGTGATGTCTTTTTGGGGTGCCTAGGTGGCCTGGTTTCTAGGATAGCCACCTACCTGGGTCTTGCCAATCTTACTGCAGAGCCTATGGGTCTGGCCCTTGGGTGCCCTCAGTTTTTTGCTAAGCCTTACTCCTCTCACAACACTGGGCCTGTGTGTTACTGGCCATGAATGTACATGCATGGTTTGTGTGTGTGTGTGTGTGTATGTATGTGTGTGTCTCCATGCAGTTATATATCTTCAAGGATCTTGACCTCAAGACGAGACAGAACCTGGCCCTGAACACCTAATGGGCAGCTGGACTTTGTGACTGTCACCTGTGCTCTTTTTCATGAGGGACATCTCTACTATTTCCTGGGCTTTGGCCTCCTAGTATGTGCTGGCCCTAGAGGACTGTCTCTGGATTTCTTACCTGTCCCTGCCCTGAATCTCCAGCTGTATTGGGATATATGTCCTCATAGCCAGGGGCCAGGGCAGTGCCTTGGTGGGGGTGTGCCATACCAGTCATAGAAAAAGCTACACTACCTGTAGCAGTCCTAAGGCAGAGTTTGGGGAGGTGATGCCCCCATTGCAGTTGAGCTTCAAGTCCTTAGTTTCCTCACTGACTTAGTAGGGTGGATGGCTGTCCAGGTAGAACAAAGGGGACTGTGTTTCCTGAGTTAAATGTAGATCCAAGGTGGCTATATCATGGCCCAAATTCCCAGAATTCTAGGGACTGGACTTTCTGCTGAGGACAGGGTCCTTATGTGGGTCTCGGTAACAAGCCTAGAGGCCCAACCCCACAGTGGGGTATAGTGAAACCCAGGTGGGGGCAGGGCTAGCAGGGTACTGTTTGCTTTAGGATAAGGCTGGCTCCTCCAGCAGTATGTGCAGGCAGGCCCCAAGGACCAAGCTTCCGGCCATCTGGTGATCACTTAAGCCCTATCCCTCAGCAGTGGTCATGGCAGGGCTCCTGCCTCTGAGTGCCCCCTCTTCTAGTCTTCACTCCCTCTGTCTGAGGCCAGGAGGGGTAGTACTTCCTGTAGGCATAGTGAGGCTAGTTTTCTCTGGAGACCTTCCTATGTGGTGTAGGGTGATAGATTAGTCTGGCCATTGGGCATTCCCCAGGTATGCCTCCAAACACCTCTAGGCAACTGAATGTATGTGTATATGCTTGCATATATGAGTCTGTCTGGGAGGCACCAGATACCAGGTTGATTGGGACCATGAGGCTAGGCAGGGCTTTGACCAGTTTCTCATTGACCTGAAGTGTGGGAGGCACTGTGAATGGTGAGATTTCAGACAGTGACAGATGGTGGGCAGAGTTTGCTTGGGAATGGGGCTGGGACCTATGAAGGTATAGGGAGGGGATCTCAGGAGGCCCATGTGCTGAGGTCCCAGGAGCCTCTAACACTGTCAGCTGGATGCAGGAGGAGAACCTTGAGACAATAATACTTGCATTGCCCTGCTTCCTTAGGTGTCTATGGACAGAACAGATTAAGGGAGGGGTGGGCTGACAACCCTTTTCCCATCTCTGCTCTTTCCCTTTCCAGAGGGAGCCATGAAGAAAGGTGAGGAAGAGGGCTGATGTTGAGATCTCAGTTGGTAGCAGCTTCAGGCCTAGGGCAGGGATGAGAGGAACTGAGTATAAGGGGAGATGGGTCTTGGAGAAGAGGGTCTCAGAAAAATGGGAAAGGGTTTGTGCAGTGTGGATATAAGCAGAAGTGTGACAGGACCTATTCGTCCATAGCTCTTTGCCTCATTGAGCAGGAATGATATCTTGGAGTTTCACTGGGAGATCTGGCCCCCTCCCCTTGGGCTGACTATTCTTCTGCCTCCTTAGAGCCTACCTTAGTACTTCAGGGTGGGCCCTAAGAGGTAGATGTACCATAGGAAGTTGGAAAGCAGCCTCTGGGAGTCTGAAAACACCCACAGAAGCACACCTGGGCTGAAGGTAGCCGCATAGCTAGGGTAATTGCACGCTGAGGAAGTACCAGCTGATTATAAAAAGCTCATGTGCCCCCAGGCCCTGTGCAGCATCACACCGAGATTGCAGAGACTTCCCATTGTCACCATTGTGCTCAGCTGACCTTGCTTTCTCTTCCCAGGACCATCCTCAATAGAACTGGTTGATGTGCTGGGTAGATGCCTCTCACTAACAGATTAGAGATGTGACATGTGGGTGGGCTAGGGGACTATGGATGCCTCTCTTTATTCAGAGGTGACCCTGGGACAGTCTCTGATGCAGTTCCCACCAGCTCACCCTCCCTCATGAGAGCACTTTTCCTTCAGCCCTAACCTTTTTGATACCTGCAGGCTTTGTGTACTCTGTACTCATCCTCCCAGCTAGGTGGTCACTTTCTGCCTGCTACACCCAGTCACACTCCTGTCCCTGCACTCCAATCCAGAGATAACTTGATGGCTGGGGCTGAGGAAAAGGATTCTTGGTGTGGGTTGGTGAGGTTGGGAGTATGTTTCTGATGGCTAAAGTTGTGGGTTCCAGGAATTGGCCTTTTCTGGGATGGTGGTCTTGACTTGTGGAACTTGAGCCTCTGCTATGGGACACTCCTGTGAACATCCTGTTGGGGGGCTATCTCTTAAGGCCAGACTACCTCCCAGGTATGACCTAGGGGCTGTCACCCACATGGACAGGACCCAGTGGGTTCTTCTTTATGAAGCAGGTTCCCTGAATGGAATCCAGCTAAGGTACCAAGTACCGGTGCCCAGCCCTTGCTCACCTTGTGTATCTCAGGCAGCTCCTAAGCTCTGACCCTCTGGACACTTTTCCTCTGATCCCATGGTCTTGGGATTGTGTACCTGTGAGGTCCAGTCACTTGGCAGGCCAGGGCTCCTGGGGCTGGCTGACAGCCCAGAGCAGATTCTGTCCATGAACTCAGATACAGAGCACACAAGTAGGACAACCAGTTCATAGGTGGGTGCATGCACATCTGTCCCTCATTGATGGGCATATATGGCAGTGAGTGCTGGCAGGTGCACACCTAGCTATTTATCCTGGGTGGTTGCTCCTGCTGACCCATTTCTATCTGAAACAGGTGTAAGGTGGCTGTCCCTTGCACTATGTGCAGCAAGAATGTAAGATATCCTATGAGGCTGTGTGTGCAGGAAAAGACTAGCCAAAAGCCATCCTGCCGTCCTGTTCATGTGGTCCCCTCCTTTCTGACCAGGGAACATGTAGTTCTCTCTGGTGAGACAAAGGGATGGCTCTGTTTTCTTGGTTTGAATTTTTAAGTGTTATTGACTTAGGCTGTGTCCTCACCCCTCTGGCCTCTCCATCTAACTTCTCAGGGAGGCTGCCTGCCATGGTGATGCACAGCAAGGTGCTTGGGACTGACACAATGGGATGTGTTGGACATGACTACTGTGGTTGGGAAGTAGGGCTCATGTTTGGGGCCTACTCTGCCATACCAAACAGACTTCCTTAGTGGGGTCCAGGTTGGGTTCCCAGCACTGGTGTCAAACCTTTGCTCCCCTCATGTGTTTCCCCAACCAAGCCCTTTAACTCCTGCAGGACCCCCAAGAATGGCAGACAAGGTGGTCCCACGGCAGGTGGCCCGCCTAGGCCGCACTGTTCGGCTACAGTGCCCGGTGGAGGGGGACCCACCACCATTGACCATGTGGACCAAAGATGGCCGCACAATCCACAGTGGCTGGAGTCGCTTCCGTGTGCTGCCCCAGGGGCTGAAGGTGAAGGAGGTGGAGCCCGAGGATGCGGGTGTTTATGTGTGCAAGGCCACCAACGGCTTTGGCAGCCTCAGCGTCAACTACACTCTCATCATTATGGGTCAGTTGGTTCGTGAGTCAGAGGTTATGGTGGGGCCAGTATTGATTGGGCATAAGGTGTACAGCAGGTACACCTGGATTCTTCCACCCTGTTTGTTCAGACAGCACCAAATCCACCTAGACATAGACAGGATCCAGGAGGTCCTGTCCCCATTCCCAGCCTGGGCCCTAGGGCAGCCTAGGCCCCCTGTCACTAGGCCAGCCTTAGGCCTTTCCTTATAGGAGGTAGAAATGGATAGAGTGTGGGGAGTGTATGTGGGGACTCAGGCAGTGGTTCCACAGAAGAGCTGCTGGGTGGGGTAGGGTGGAGTGGGGTGAGGACTTGGCAGGGCAAGCCTTGGCAGCCATAACTCTGAGGCTCAGATTTCAGAGTTCAGAGGGGCCGCAAGAAGTGAATGGTCTCTGTTCTCTTCTGTCCCTGGTGCCCAGTCGGCAGGGAATGGGCAGGTGTCTTTGGTGACACACCCTCCATACATTGGTAGCAGGCATGGCCCACCTTCTTTGCTGGGCTCTGTAGTGTGGGGCCCTGGGCCAGGATGACTCTCTTTGCAGTGGAGGTCTAAGGTAGTGGCCTGGGACGGCCTGGTCCTTGGTCTCGAATTGGGTGGAAGAGGCGGCTGTCATAGGGCAGCAAGGGGACATTCCTTATCACACCCTGCCCCCCTCATCACTGCCCAGTACAGGCCCCAAGGCCTTCTCAGGGTTTGGAATGGGAATATTGCGGCTGTCCACCCTCCCTACCCCCATCCTTTCAAAGAGGATGATGACCAGGCGGTATGTAAGCCATGTCTCTGCACCAAGCATTCGGCCCCTTGATGTGGGCTAGGGTTACTGCAGCTGCTGGCTGGGCCTGACCCCCTCCTCCCAGGCCTTGTAGACCCCCCGGAGCCAGGGTGGGGGTGGCTCTCCAGTCCCACCATGCCTGTCAGGGTCACCTGCACCCAGGGAGGGGGCTGGCAGGCAGCCACTGCCCAGCTGTCCCTGAATCCTGACATGTGGGTGTGTCCATGGCCTTTGCTTGGGTTCTAGGGCTGTCTCAACCAGGCCATGCTGGGTACTGGTTAGTGGCTCCCTTGTCCCCCTCACCTGGCCTCCTTATGACATGTTTCTCTACAGATGATGTCAATCCAGGGAAGGAGAGCCCTGGACCAGGTGGTTCTTCTGGGGGCCAGGAGGACCCAGCCAGCCAGCAGTGGGGTATGTATGGGGTAGGGAGAATCTTTGTGCTTGGAATAGGGCAGTGACCATCCTCCTGGCATCCTCACATATCCTTTCCCACTGACCTTGATGCTGCCCTGCCCCACAGCACGGCCTCGCTTCACGCAGCCCTCCAAGATGAGGCGCCGAGTGATTGCACGGCCTGTAGGTAGCTCTGTGCGGCTCAAGTGTGTGGCCAGTGGGCACCCACGGCCAGACATCATGTGGATGAAGGATGACCAGACCTTGGCACGGCCAGAGGCCAGTGAGCATAGGAAGAAGAAGTGGACGCTGAGCTTGAAGAACCTGAGGCCTGAAGACAGTGGCAAGTACACATGCCGTGTCTCCAACCGGGCCGGTGCCATCAATGCCACCTACAAAGTGGATGTAATCCGTGAGTGGCGGGTCTGGGGTAGGACAGGGGCCTGTGGTGCCTAGAACTCTACTGACATGTTGTTTGTCCCTGCCATAGAGCGGACCCGCTCCAAGCCTGTGCTCACAGGGACACACCCTGTGAATACAACAGTGGACTTTGGTGGGACAACATCCTTCCAGTGCAAGGTTCGCAGTGATGTGAAACCTGTGATCCAGTGGCTAAAGCGGGTGGAGTACGGCTCTGAGGGTCGCCACAACTCCACTATTGATGTGGGTGGCCAGAAGTTTGTGGTATTGCCCACGGGTGACGTGTGGTCACGGCCTGATGGCTCCTACCTCAACAAGCTGCTCATCTCTCGGGCCCGCCAGGATGATGCTGGCATGTATATCTGCCTGGGTGCAAACACCATGGGCTACAGTTTTCGTAGTGCCTTCCTCACTGTATTACCAGGTGGGTACGGGCTGCCCACCCCCTGCTCACTCTCAGTCCCTACCATTGGTTTGGGCTGTCCTGGGGGTCTCCAATGTCCAACTCCAGGTGGGGGCTCCCTATCCTTTTCCCTTTCTTGTGGGTCTTCCTTGCCTCATGGGGAGTCCAGGTGTGCTATCCATGTTGTTCACACTTGGGGTGGTTGTTTCATTAGTGTACTGACATTCCCTTCCCTACTCTTTTCCTTGATCTCTCTTGCAGACCCCAAACCTCCAGGGCCTCCTGTGGCTCCTTCATCCTCGACCACAAGCCTGCCATGGCCTGTGGTGATCGGTATCCCGGCTGGTGCTGTCTTCATTCTTGGCACTGTGCTGCTCTGGCTTTGCCAGGCCAAGAAGAAGCCATGTGCCCCTGCATCTACGCTCCCTGTGCCTGGGCATCGTCCCCCAGGGGCATCCCGAGACCGCAGTGGGGACAAAGACCTGTCCTCGTTAGCTGTGGGCCTGTGTGAGGAGCATGGATCCACCATGCCCCCCCAGCACATCCTGGCCTCTGGCTCAACCGCTGGCCCCAAGCTGTACCCCAAGCTGTACACAGATGTGCACACACACACGCACACACACACATGCACACACACACTCTCATGTGGAGGGCAAGGTTCACCAGCACCAGCATGTCCACTATCAGTGCTAAATGCAGCAAATCTCCAAGCACTGTGCCCTGAGGTAGGCATATGGGGGCCAAGACAACAGGTTGGGAGGATTGAAAGCAATGGAGGAAGAATATCCTAGGGCCCTGTGGTAGGCACTCACATATTTGGCCATATAGATGTATGTACTGCCAGATGAACACACATCCAGACAGCCAAACCCACAAACAAACATTTACAAATGCAAATGTGTGCTCATGTGCACACACAACCTGAGAAGCCTTCAGGAGGATTTGTTGTGTGACTTTGCAGTGACATGTAGTGATGGCTAGTTGAAGGAATCTCCCTCAAGTCTTAGTGGTCATGGCCACTCCCCCACCTCTGACCACCTGTGTCCCTGCCTGGCCTTGGTGGCTACTTTTGCCTCTGTGTATGCTGGGTGTCTAGGAGTCTACTAGCAACCTAGGTGGGGTGAGCAGTGTGACCATGCCTGGAGGTTTGAGCCACCCTCCCCTTGCTAGAGAGAAGGGCCTCAATATTTATATTTAAGAAGTAAAATAATATTAATAATGTTGTAAGGATGGCTGGGACACAGGAACTCTGGCCTGCCCTAGGGCCTAGGACCTGCCTGACCTTGTGGTTACATTGGGTATCTTCACTGTCCATGGCTGCCTGGCCTCTGTAATTTTATATAGAGTTTGGGCTGAAGCCTCGTATATTTAATTTATTTTGTTAAACAAGAAAGTGCCTCTTTTTTTTCATTCTGGTGTTTTTACCTGGGGTTGGCCTGTGTGTATTTGCCAGTGAGCACACACTTGTGCTCTATTTGTGTCTACTTACATATATTTACTGGTGTGTGTGTGTGTGTGTGTGTGTGTGTGTGTGTGTGTGTGTGTGTGTGCATACATATGTTAGCTTGCATGTATACATGTGCTGATGCTGTGCCTGTGTGTCTTCCCTCTAGCGAAGCTCCTGCCTTGCCTTTCCTAGGCCTCAGGCTTAGGGTTTCCCAGGCTTTGTCTTCTGTGAGACCTTGGATTTCTGAGCCTCATGGTGTACCAGGAGTGGCTGCAGCCGGTGTGTGAAGTGTGTTCCCACCACTCTGGGGTCTGTTCAGAGTGGTGCTCTACACATCTGGCTGAGTGCAGTCACCTCTGTTCTGTGCATGCCCCTGCCCTTAGTGGGGAACCAATTTTTGTTGTTCCATTTTATGTGGCTTTATGCTTAGAACTGGGGTAGGGCCAGGCCCAGGTCACTGGGACTCCAGCTGAGTGCCCTCCCAGGTACTTGTGTGATAATATGTGTGGCAGTTGTTTTTGTTATTGTTTTGTTTTTCGATACAGGGTTTATCCTCTGTGTAATAGTTCTGGCTGTCCTGGAACTTGCTTTGTAGACCAAGTTGGCTTCAAACTCAACAAAGATCCACCTATCTCTGCCTCTCGAGTGCTGGGATTAAAGAGGTGTGTGCCACCACACCCAGTGGCAGCTGTTCTTTTCAGTCAGGGAAACTGAGGCTCCTATTCACCTAGCCATTTTGGAGGCTGGGATATCTGTCTATCCCAGTTTCAGAGCTCCCTAAGGCACAGAGGACTGGGCATATATCTCAGTAGTAGAGTGCTTGTCCAATATGTCGGAAATCAATTCAGTCTCTAGTATCACATGCATGCACACACGAAGATTCCGCATGCACAATCTAGCAATGTATTGGTACAAAGGTCTTACCATGGTTCTAAGCTTCTCCCTGAGAGTAGTCACCTTTCTTAGCATCTATAGACAACAAGTGGCCACTTAGTTTCACCAGGGTGTCTTCCATGTGGGCCCCTCAGGAGTAGGGTTAGTTACTCTGGACATTTCTTATAGGACCCCCTCATATAGGACAACTCCTCGCCTTTGACCTCCTAGGGTACCCACACTGGGGGGGAGTCCTGGCTGGTAATGATGGATATCTCTGGCTGCCAGATGCTGGGGAGGCCCAGATGCATGTTCAAGGCACAGTGGGGCTCCAGGTCCACAGTTGGTGATAAACAGATGTTCCCCAAACAGGATGGCTCAGCACTTGGTCAAGTTTGTCTAAAGTATGGGGGATTGGGAAGAGAAGAGACCTTAGGCAGTAGGCGATCTGTGCCGTATAGATGTACTGCTCCAGAGAACAGGTAGAGTTGGCATCCTGAGGGAGAAGAGACCCAGATCTTGAGCCCTTGTCCTTGGCCTAAGGTCAGGAGCCAACCAATGAGGAGTGAGTACCCTCTCACCCTGGCTGCCTCATGAGCAGGATCTGTCCGGGGAGAGCAGGTGTCAAGTAACAGGCTAGGAAAAGGGCCCCAAGGTAGACAAGACAACCCACCTGCCCCTAACAGGGCCCCTGAATACCCCTAAATAATGACCCTGGAGCTCAGAGCTCCTTGTCTACCTCAGACCTCTGTGGCTGTCCCAGCTCACATGTAGTAGCTAGGAGCCCATGTCCCCAGCCCTGAGGCCTTTCTGTTCCATTTCCATCTCCAGCTCAGCTCTGGCAAGACCTCATGTGGATACAATTGGCTTGTCCCTGTAGAGGTGCATGCTGGTCACCCCACTTGATGCCCCAGTTGCTTTAACATTTTCAAAGAGGAAGTCATTGTCTTTCCCACGTGTCCAGGAGTCTGCTGTGCCCCAAGTGCAGGAAGAAATGGCCTCTGTGCCTCTGAGGGTGGCCTGACAGTGGCCAAAAGACGGTGCTTTAGACCTTGGCTGTACTGCTAGGCACCTATCTATCCATGTACATGCCCATCTCTTCCCAGGGCCTCTGTCACCCAGACTTTTTCTACTGCTCGGACTAGAGGGGATGGACATGTGTTGAGTGTGGTGTGCTGCTTGAAAATAGGGCAAAATCCTTGCTAGGATGAGACGCTGTGGGTCCAGGAAGAAAGGGGCCTGAAATAGCTGTCCCCTGCCTGCTAAAACACCTCATATGGACAAATGCACATGTCCCTAGCCTTCCCTTCTTAGAGGTCAGGAGGGGATACTGCTGTCCTTGGGGTGACCCACAGGCCAGGCCAGGCATAGTGGCTTCTGATTGGAAGTCATATAGGAGGAGATTCAGTGTCCTGGTTGAGGCTTGATGAGTGGTGGGTGTGTGAGGGATGCAGTAGGGAGCCATGCCTGAGCCTTCATCTGACCCATCTAGGCAGTGATAAGCTGATTCACTGGGAAAGCCGGCAAACTTGAAAGGTTGGCCCAGACTGACACCCTTGGGTGTGACACCCCTCCCTCCTCCAGCTTCAAAGGATGTCCATGAGCTGTCCTGCAGCTGTCCCCGGGGGCAGGGAGGGGCTGAGGCTAGTGCCCAGGGTAGGTTGGTAGTACAAAGAAGCGGGACATGGGTTGCCCCACCCTGCAGTCAGAGGACCTGGCTAGAGATCAGAGCCTTGTTCCAGGACTGGGACATGGCCACAGAGGACCTGTGACACAGAAGAGAGGCATGGGGTAGAGATACCTCCACGGCACAGACTTGGCCAGGATACCAAGCAGGGCTCAAAAGAGCTGCCCTGATCTCTCTCAGACATCACAAGGCTGGGCCATATGTAGCCAGGCTGGTCTTCAGGCATCAGGGACAGAATGTGGTGACCTGGGCTGCAGTGTGTGTGTGTGTGTGGCAGTGGCGACGGGGGTGGGGGTGACGACGACGATGATTCCCTCCACAGCTGATGGTAGCATACCATGCAAATGCTTCTTGTAGAACTCTCTAATAGAATAAGAATCTTAGTCCAGCTTTGTGGTGTAGGAGCTGTGGTTATCAAGTCTAGGAGGGCTTGGCAGAACCCTTCTGAGATTTGTGTGCGTGACGATGCAGGGTGGAAGACCCAGGTGTGTTTCTGTAACACCCTATAGTCAGTCCCAGAGATGACAGTTGATATTGTAGCCTCACAAGTCTCTTTCTGAGGAGAGATTTCTGTGAAGGGCATTCTTGCTTCAGGCCATGGCTGAGGCTGACCAAGTACCTGGCTGATCATTTAATTCCTCCGTTGCCTGAGCCAGTACCCAGGTACCCGGTGGTGAGCTTGGGCAGGATAGCCATCCCTGGTGGTCAGGGTTCCTCAGAGAAAGAGTGGGAGGTCCCTGAGAGGGACTCCTGTGACAGCAACTCCAGCCTGCATAGGAGCTCTTTTGATCTGAAGAGGAGGAGGCTCCAACAGAGTTGGAGACAGGGTCTGTGAAGCAGAAATGGATGCTAATCTGGTCCCAGTTCTGGGCCTTTGAAGACTGGGAGCTGTGGGATCCTGGTTCCTCCTGGGCCCTTACAGATATCAGGGCTGAGCCAGTCCCTGATCGGTGTCTCTGTTGTAAATGGAAGGCCTACAGGAGGGTCCTCACCAGACTACTTACCCCCTCATGAAGGGACAGGGAAATTGGCCAGTTAATTGTTTTATTCTTCCTGAGAGGGTTCTGATGTTCAGTGCTTGCCTCCAAGTAAGGTCGTGGTTCCCTACTTTGTGCAGTAGGACTTGGAGTAGAAGGGTGAGGCAAAGGGCCCAAAGTCCTTGGCTGCTGAGAGAGGAGTTGACAGTTCCCAGTGGGGTTACCCTGAATGTTTACACAGGCAACTCTACCCTGTGACTTGGGGTCATCCTTTTAGACTGCCTGCAATCCCAGTACTGCTGGGTTTGGATACTGGATTGTGTTATGTATCCTTCCACCAAAGACCACGCTCCTTATCGATCTTGCCTGGCCCTCTCGCATGCCTGCAGGATGGGAGAGGAGCCTCAAAGGCCCAGGCTGCCCAGGAAGGTAGGATGGGCACAGGGAGAGATATAGGCAGGTGATCCTGTTCTCTTTTGGGTGAGCCAGCTGCTTTCTTCAGGCAAGGTGTTTCCTTCAAAGATCTCAACTCTGGAGTCTGTCTGATGTGGACAGGGTAGCACATTAATTACACTAGGCTCAGTGGCCATCACAGAAGCCTGAGAATTGTAGCCCTGGGAGATCCAGGATCTCCTGAGTGAGAACACTCTGACCTGTCCCAGATAGGAGGTAGGACTCCCTGATTCCCCCTGGTAGCTCCTCCCCTTGTTGCTCAGTTCAGGAGAGGCTGATAGATGGACCCATCAGCTGCCTCATTTTGCCCAAGTGAGCACTGGGTGAGCATTGGATGGGAAAAGTAAGATGACCACCCACATCCACA